TAATTATTTTTGTAAACTAAAGTGTAGAATCATTGATAATTAAATACACTAAGTAGCTTAATATTATCAATGACAAAACTATTCCGACCGTGTAGTGTTTCATCGATTAATTATATAGTGTATCATTTATTTCCAAGTCAGTTTCTATTTAATAAGTCATTTTCCTCCCACTATTAAGAAATCATAATCCTGGACCTATAGACTAAGGATATTTTAGGATTTAATTTTACACACACAAACGGTAGCACTACTAGTTCAAACGCTATCCTTCCCTCCTGCGATATTATACTAACCAAATAAATTTTCAAGTTAAGAAAATATCCTCCTCTTATCCTGAAAGTAATTGGTATAAGCTATCCTCGTATCTGATAACCCAGCCATGAACCTGCCCTCACATTATCATCCTTGTCGACTATTATCTGGCTAGTGGTGGACACAAGCTGGCGCCACTGCTCGGCTCTCTGTCTGACTAACTCGCAAAATTACGTTCTCAGAATGTATGTGTTCCTCCGCCTTCCTGCCTTCGTGACCTTTCAGCTGTTGACTCATGCAAAACTATGAAAGGATGACGTTACCATATCCAAACATTAACGAATTAAAGTAAAAAAAAACCCTTGTTATTTAATTTCTTCCTTCTTGCCATAACCTTCCAGAGGGAGTAACGTTAACCTCTTTAACCTAATAACACTATGATCGGGCCATTTAGGTGGATACCTAACCTTAACTATCAATGCGATAACATTCCGACAGGACAACGTGAACCAAATGAAAATTTTCCGTAAACTTCCTGACCTCTCGTATGTCTATGGGAAAGGGTCGCGGAAAGGGGACGTGATTGCTGCCCGTATCATCATTGGGTATGACTTTGCTTGGGAGATTGGTATCCCGGCATCCCCTGAGCAACGCTCTTGTGCATTATGCAGAAGACCCGACAGCAGCACCCTTTAACCACTCACCCCTAAGTCCTACCACACAACGCTTCCGTGACGCCCACTGACCACCACCCTCGACCCCCTGACGGAGACACGATGATCTCCCCATACTGGCCAGATATAATGTAAATAACATTGATTATGTGTTAAAGGAATATCCTTCCTTCCTTAGGGCTTTAGTAAGCCCCTTTATGATATTTATACTGTATATATTCAGGACACTTGCCAGATGCTTCTGGTGTCATTGTATAGGGAACTTAGTGACAGCACTAGAATAAACAATTGAAATTAATGAATGAAAAATTCCTTTTAACCTTTCACGTATATAAACTCCTGACACTAACCAGCATTTTAAAACAATAAATGAGGATAAAGTTTATATAGTGTATCTTGTGTTGCCATCAAGGTTCACGCGTATTCTAGAAATTACGGTCTACTGCAGCGACTACCGTAGTATTGGCCAGGTCCTCCTGAAAGACGAAAACCAACTAAACTAACACGAGCACCTCAATTAACCAATATTTATATCTGTAGTGTTTTAAAAGGAAGGTTAAATGAGGTTTTTCCTGGAAGTTTAATTGTTTTTGCATTTCAGAAGTACTAGCATGGCTTCATAACACACATTAGTCTCTCTGCCTTCAACTATCATCACACCACCTGCTACCACCATCACACCCCTGCTACCCCACCACATCACACACCCCTGCTACCACCATCACACCCCCTCACCCTGCTACCATCACACACCACCTGCTACCACCATAACACACCCCTGCTACCACCATCACACACCCCCTGCTACCACCATCACACACCCCCTGCTACCACCACACACACCCCTGCTACCACCATCACACACCTGCCTCACCATCACACACCACCTGCCCACCATAACACACCCCCTGCACCACCATCACACACCACCTGCTACCACCTCACACCCCTGCACCATCACACACCCCCCTGCTACCACCATCACACACACCCCCTGCTACTCCATCACACCCCTGCTACCACCATCACACCCCTGCTACCACCACACACCCCTCTACACCATACACACCCCTGCTACCATCACACACCCTGCTACCACCATCACACACCCCCGCCACCATCACACACACCCCCACACACCATCACACACCCCTGCTACCACCATCACACACCCTGCTACCACCATCACACACCCCTGCCACCATCACACACCCCTGCTACCACCATCACACACCCCTGCTACCACCATCACACACCCCCTGCTACCATCACACACCCCTACCATCACACACCCCTGCTACCACCATCACACACCCCCTGCTACCACCATCACACACCCCTCCATCACACACCACCTGCTACCACCATAACACACCCCTGCTACCATTACACCCCCACCATCACACACACCCTCCACCATAACATCACCTACCCCCTGCTACCACCATCACACCACCTGCTACCACCACCACACACCCACCCACCACACCACCTGCTACCATCACACCCTGCTACCACCATCACACCCCCCTGCTACCACCATCACACACCACCTGCTACCACCACCATCACACCACCCGCTACCATCATCACATACATAATAATGACCAAGCAAACGTGACTTAAATTTTCATCTTCAGGAGTCCAGAAACAGCGATTACATGACACCTAAACACACACACACACACACACGTCTCGCCACCTTATATCGCTATGCATGGTGTTTACAAAGTCCACTGATGTTAGGTGAGGTAGTTATTATGTACACTGAGCTACACCTGCAGACAACACGATTGAAAAATAACTCAAAAATAAATACAACCTACCTGGTAGTACTGTAGTGGTGTGTCCTGTTTCTTGTGGTAACCTTTTCAACTTAGTGACTCAGGCTGTGCTTAGTGCCAGTGTACCCAGTCTCCGTGATGAGGGATATTCTAAAACTGTTCTTCTGGTATAGTATAATAAGGCTTTCAGGATGGTGAATGTTCAATGCTATAAGGCACTACCCGTGTGTTGGCGCAGAATAAGGTGATGGTATTAGTCCCGTCGTTAAAACCAGATAGAATAGTTCAGTCTGTATTATTTATCCATTAGTCTATGTTTGTCAGGTCTAAGTAAACTGATAGGTGTTGATATTTGACGTTTGGTACAGTATAGTATTCCGAATTTAGGTAAAACACAGGACGGTACAGGGATCAGTTCCTATGGTACCTTATACAGTACCAATACCCAATGTCACTGGTGCACTTAACCTGCGACTTAATAATGTATTAGATCATTATCCTCCTCGTATACCTTATGTTAAACTTATTCAATATTCCATCTAATATACTGTTTGTTATAAAGTTAAACAAACAGAAATGTTAATATTGATAACATAACAAAACAACTTTTATTCTAACAAAGTCACAGGTGTCGTAGTTCAGGGCTCAAGGAAGTTAGTTACAGCATTACCATGGATGAGTCATTGTCGCAGTGAAGGCAGTACAGTAATACTAATGACCACACTGTTGGCTGAAGAACACCACTCCACTCTAAATGTTCTTGAAGTTCATGTTGTAGTTTTCTGGTGACTGTTGGAACTACTTGGGTTTACGGTCACTTATGTTTGAATACGTAAGTGGGTGATTGTCCGGCCAAGATGATTTTTGGTAATTATTTCTAAACGAGATTTTCCAATAAGTTATAAAGTTTAACAAGTGATAGCACCAGGAACAGGTTAGTGTGTGAGTTAAGGACACTCAGTTATGATCACAACAACCATTAACTTTCTCGAGCACGTATAGCGTCTGCTGTACACTGTACTGCGTGTACTGTACTTCACGATGACTATGTCCCTGAAGCTATTTGGTGGTTGTTATTATAGCTACCATGTATACTCATTAGCCAGGCTTACCACAATTGTTGTAACACACACCAGCAAAACTACCTGTGCACAGTGTCCTGAGCACAGTTGACGCCACACAACAACAATGTTTGGGTCTCTTATTTACCAAACTGGCAGGTGATACATCACTGATTTACATTACATTATTTTCTTCAGTGTTAGTCACAAGTATTATAAGAACAGTAAGTGATCACATGGTTCAAATGTCAGCTTGTGAGTGTTGGGAGGTTAATGTAGCCACAGTGTAAGGGGTGTTCACTACACCGTAACGTGTGTCACCACACGAAGGCCACACAACAGGGTGCAGTGGAGTGTGAGGAGGAGACACACAGGAGAGGTAGACGCAGGAGAGAGCTGCCACAGTCTTGATCACTACCACACCGACACACCCACACACACTGCCAAGTGCCAAAGTGCCTCAACCCGGCGTCTGGCAACATCGACCCACAATACCGGAAAACTCTTGTACAGTAGTTGTAGTTTTTCATCACAGTTTCCGGTGTGATAACATTGATCATTAGTTCAAGCCCCAAAGTTTTTAGTTTTCTTTAGTATTATAATTACATGAATAACGATTTAAATTCTTCGCTGTGTGGGTGATTCAGAATCAGCTACCAGGGAGATTAGGCACCGTTCATTCGGTCTTTTAGTTTTAGGTGCTTCAACATATTACGGGGATATAAGACTATTAGTTAAGAGATATATAAAATAATATTGAATTTGTCTATCATCTATAGGGGTACTTGTCTGTGACGGTACTCGTGCACTGGGGTAACTATCATTAATAACTATATCTGCTGTACCCTGCTCGTTATTTTGGCCAGCTTTGCAAATTCATTCGGGTATATTTTAATATGTAATAAAAATTTTAAAAGGTTTTTGTGTAATATAGCGTAATAATTAAGTCACATTGTTTCTCCAAATTATAAAAAAAATAGTGAATCCGCAGGTGTATTGACGAACGACGATATGTAAACAATCTCTCGTGTTTACAAGAGAGATGATTAATGTTGAAAATATAACCACAACTAATGTTCTAAAACTCTATACATTAATTTTTCATCACGCACGTACCAAATATATGATAAATAAGCCTAATATAATACATTTAGTGTAATTTATATTATCTTGGTATATGTTTGGGTAGTTCTTGTAGCTTGAAAATAGAAAATATCCGTCGTTCCTGTTCGTGGTATGTCTGTAACATCAAATTCTACTGTTTCATACTTCTACGTGCCTCAGAAACATGAACATGTCAAAAACTTATTTGGGGAAGATATTTCGGCGAACAGAAATTCCGACGCCACGAACGTTACTTCTAACTGGTAAGAAACCTTCCCATGTGTCTGAATATTAGTGTACAATTATGATTATCCTTGAACTGAAGACTGGTGGCAGTGTGTGTGGGTGGACCAACCGCAGCAGTAATACTGTAGTAAACAACTCGGGTAAAGGACCAAATGTAGGTTAAAACGGTAATGTATGAGGAACCACCACCACCAGAAGAAGTTATTCGATGTTTCATGTTTTTCACAGATCAGTAAAATTATGTTATTTTGGTATATTATTATTCTCATTACCATTTCTTTACGTTACCTTCATTTTTTCTGATTTCAGATTCAGCTAAAGTTTGTGGCAGAGGATTATTGTATGCACTCGTCAACTCCCATCTGGGCTCCTCCACTGACGTCCTCTACCTCACCACCTGTCTCTCACCACAAGAAATAAGACGCTTTGTCAAGGAAGGTGAGTTTCATGTGTGGACAACCTGTCAAAGGACGCTCTGCTAGACGGTTTACTGGGTAAGAGACGTTTATATGTTTAGGATTCAATATTTGTCCTTTCCATTCTCATGGTTTTTTTTATATTTTCATGATACAAATTTCTGTTTCTTGCATAATCAAGGAAGGCTTCTGTTTCTACCTCAATATTTCCCAGGCATCTCTTCTCATTGTGTCCCTCTTTCCTTCCCTCATGCTCTTCTGCTGCTACTAATGTAAGGATTCTCTCTAAGCTTCTTTTTACCTTAACATTACTTCTTTTGTTTGTGTTCCACCTTATATATCATCTTTTATGCTCTAGGTTTATTTTCATATACCCTTTTACTTCTCAATACAGCGTAAGTCAGTGTTGTTGTTGTTTCCAGAGGCGTCGGGTAAACTAGAGTTCTACAATGGTGCCAAAGATCCATGTGGGTGGGACAGTGATGCTCCAGAGGTGTCACTTCAGCTACCACTACAGGAGATCCTCAGACACAAGACTACCGCCGCTGGAGGAGGAAAAGTAGCCATAGTTGTTGACAGACTCGAGGACGTCAACTATCACCAAGAGTCTTCACAGTTGGTTAGGAGTCTTCATATGCTGTCAGCAGGTGAGTCAGTTGTTTGGTATAATGTAGTCGTTTACAAGTGTCATTTTCCATTTCTTAGTGTTTGTGTGACTCGTATCATTGCTTTTGAGATAATAATTCAAATCTCAGACATGCAAGTTGTACCAATATTTATGACTCCAGGCTGTAGGATAATCATATAGAGGTGTACAGCTGATGCAACAATTCATCTCTCGTCAGTATTTCATCATTGTCACTCATCCTCCAAGATCATCAGTTCATTTTTATCCCTTGGGTATGGGATCCTCTGTGTTGAATAAAATCATCAGACATAGGCAAATAAATTATTAAAAGACCCCACAGTGGATGAGTTAGACAAAAAAGTAAATACAGAAAGTTTTAAGATGTAGAAGAGGGAGAGGAGGAGTGTTTTAAAGGGTGTTGTACTGATCAATGTTCTCATGTTATTGTGAATTATGAACAAGATGTTTGGATGGTTAGTTCATTAGTTTACCTTTATTACAGGTGATAATGTGGAACAAGTCATTGTATACTGTGGCCGGGATGTTGTTCCTGAGAGCATGTTGGCTGCTCTCTGCCATATTGCTGCTGCCACCGTCCACTTGCTGCCAACAAGTCCGTGTAGCTGTCGGTTGGTACTGAGGAAGCCTTCTGGCAAAGTGATAAAAGCTGTGAGTATATTGTTAGATATTTGCAAGGGTTACATGCTGATTAAGGATCTGTTGTCTGCAATTTGATTTGTATAATTACTTGGCTGAGAAATATTATTTAAAATATTTCAGCACGAAGAGTTTACACTCACACCAGACTTACAAGTGCAAGACGTACAACCTGCAAAATCTATCAGGACCCAACATGTAAGTGAAAGCTCAGAAACAGACGTGATCTTAGCTGCACAGACAACCTTTAGTCTCGCTCTCACCGAGGATCAACGGATAGCGAAGAACAGTCTGCTGCTTCCACACACAAGGTGAGATTGTTTTAGTTTTTATCACTTGTGCAAACTGTGACCCAGCAGAATGACCTAACTTGAGAGCAACACTGGTCACTACTATCAGTCCTCCCAGAATTGGTATCTTGGGTGATTGCAGCCTTTTATTTCAGCTTTTACCCCTGACCCTCCTGCCTTTACTTTTAGCAAACTAACAAAATCCCTACCATCATTCCTTATAATATGTTTATATATCTTACTTTTCTTATTGTATTTATTTACCCAATTTCAGTATTTTAATTTGTTTTTCTGTCAGTATAACTTATGTCTATTATTCTCCTGTAACACCACTGATGACAGGCCTCCTACTGGTGTCTGCTGAAGGTGTCCACATATCAGACCCACACAGAGAAGGTGTCCATTCAATCAAAGATACTGTAACAGACTAGATGAATGAGGACCTGTCACTGTGTATGTCTGTCCACCACTACTCTCCCCGCACACAAGTTAGAAACAATTCCAGATAACATTAATGACACTGTTTCTTACCATTTAGTGTTTCAGAAGAATAAATCATGTTTGTGTTGATACAATGAGTGATCCATGAGTTAAGGGAATCATACAACACAGCCCTCATCACTCCTAACAATAAGTATGTCAGTAAATAGGATCTGCAAGTCTTATTACACTACTGTATGTACATTAATAACACTCTCTTATTTTTCAGGGTTCAGACACAAGGAGGACATATCCACTATACACCAGATGATGTGGATGACTGGGATGATGACGACCCTGATGATGACCTCGACATATAGCTTTGCCTTTAACCACTACAGGATGGATGCCAATTTTAATTAGATGATTTTTACTTAGCCCAGAGAGAGAGAGAGAGACCCCATTTATAAAGAGTTAAAGGTTAAAGACAGTAGTTTCCTACACTTAACCTACTCATAAACAAGAATATCCATTTATACTGTACTAGATGGAGAACTCAGCCACATGTACAGAGATGCAGAGCAAATATGGTGTTTATAAACCCTTAAGATATATAACAAATATGGTACTATAGGTCAGGTAAAAATAGAAGATGGATGTTCTTTGATGACCTACAAAAGGAAGACGAAAGATGTGGTAGTTTTTTTATATATTAAGATGAATGTGACTACGGATGATTAATATTATCAGTAAATATAATACAAAGACATACACCAAGTGGTATTTAATCCTTACTATTAGGAAATATGTGTGTGTATATTTACTGATGTTTGGGTGTAAATATAGGTACTGTATTGGATCTACAGTATGTTCTTGAAGTGACCGTGAAACTCAACAATCTGTGAGTACCACCATAATAAATACAATATACCAATATGTGCTATATATTTACACTATAATTAAAAAGTAACTTCTACACTCAAGTCCCTTTAAATATCATACATCTGTGTGTTAATGTAGTAAATGAAAAGTGAAAAATACAGAGGTAATGTAGAATTATGAAGAAGAAAACATCGTTTGATAGAAAAACATTTGCAAAAACTTATACTGTACACAATTTATGATTAATAGTGTAAATATAATAGAAATAGGAAGTTAAAATGAATAATTACCCCAAGAAAATTACCCGCCTGTGGATAATTACCTATAGATTGAGAACCACTGATCTAAGCGAATATGAATTACACATCCACTCCCCAATATGTGAAGCATTAAATGACCTTGTTTCCCTTCTCTAGCAACACTAAATAATCCCAGCAGGAAACATTATGAGGAATTAGCCCAAGATAAACTGTAAATCCTTCACAAAACTATGTCCATTGTTGAGGGATTAGCCCAAAATAAGTTGTAAATCCCTCGTGTAACAACATCTACTGAACTAGGTTTCATTAGGCAGTCAGAATTAGCTAAGGTATTCCAGCAACACATAATTCAACTGAGGTATAATCTGTGGTCCATGGGAAAGTGTCCACCATGTCTCTCATTCATGATAAGATATGGAATAAAACCATCAGGTTATTCTTAGCTAAACATATCAGTGAGGAGAACTGACAAGTGGCAAAGGTGAAGAATTTGTTGAGCTGAGAATTTTTACAGTGTATGTGTACCCCAAAATTTTTTTAGTAAATCATAATGTTACTGTAAATTGGTCATCATATAAATCATAATACAGTACTAAAGGTTATTACAGTGACATGGAAGGAGGGGGGGGGGGCATTATTGTTCCTGCTGCTGCAATGTTTACTTAGAAAATATTCCATAATCCTTCAATAATGTCTTATTTTTTGGATACTATTTATTTATATTTCATCTTACCTTGTAATGAAGGTCGTCACCCACTGCCATCATCAAGGACAGGTACTGTATAACCCAAGTGGCAGCAACACTGTAGGTAAGAGTTTACACCAATCTTCCAGGTGGGTCAATACTGTGTCCTCCAGCTAAATTTTACCTGAAGTTACGAGACACAAACTCAGCTGTCATGACCGGCCAGGTGAGGGCGGTGCTGGTGACAGTATCTAGCGCTCTCCTGGTGTGGGTCATTATAGCCCAGGTCAGAGCTCACCCTCCTGGACATGATGCTGGGATACTGACAACACCAGCCAACACACAACCTGTAGAGAATGAAACCCTCAATGTGGTATCAGAAAGCTGAGAAAACCTGCAGATGAAGGCAGAGTGGCGGACAACGGATGCATACGACGAATATTGCCCACCCAAGGATGTCATCTGGCCGTGTGAGTGCTAAGGAGACACAACCTACGTCACGTTCACCTGCTATGGCATTGTCAACTACGAACTTCTTGACAAGGTTAGTCAGTCCTGTTGATATATGTGTGTGTGTGTGTGTGTGAGTGATCCTGGGCACTACAGCAAGTTATAAACACACATCTCTCAGCAACGTAACCCACCAACACACACTAAAGTATTCATAAATATAACAAAGATGATTTTGATTACATCCTTTAATGCCTTTTCTTTATATTATATGGTTTAAATACTGTAATTATGTACTGTACTGTACCATTACAGTACTAATACTATAAGTACAGTTACAGACAGCATTAATCAACATAACCGATATATATATTTAAAGAGACTGATAGATAGATTAAGCAAAGAGTAATAAGAGTCCTGTACTGTTTCAGATCCTGGCAGCAGACGTCTACCCCATCAACGACATGAACACTTTATATATCATGTACGGCGAACTGGGGAACATCAAAGCTGGTTTGTTGCGTGAGTACTACTGGTGTAGGAGTGAGAGTTCTGTCACACAGCTTAGTCTCTAGGTTCTGATGTTCAAAAGATTGTACATTAAATATTCCCCATTGACAGCATCTGGGGCCGGGTACCTTCTCGTTCAACATCCCCATCCTCCGAGTCATCAACCTCCGGGGAAATAGTCTAAAAGATGTAGACAAGGACGCTTTCTCAGGTAAATAAACAAACACACAACGTCTCTATTACCTGACTATCATTCTGGGAGTCTAATTTATTCACCTAATTTCCCTATTAACCTCGTTTTTTGGTGTCAATTATAAATCACATTGGATTACTTGATGATTAGACACTGCAGCTTATTACACTTGATGATTAGACACCACAGATTATTTCACTTGATGATTAGACACAACAGCTTATTACACTTGATGATTAGACACCACAGCTTATTACACTTGATGAGCAGACACCACAGCTTATTACACTTGATGATTAGACACCGCAGCTTATTTCACTTGATGATTAGACACCACAGCTTATTTCAACTAAGTATGATGATCCATAATTTGTATAGGATTGATAATGTATTCAAGAGGTTAATAATCCCAGGTGTTACTTTACAGGTGTTGTGTCAAGCCCGCAGGTAACCCTTGAATTCAGCTCCCTAGACCACTTCACCTACGACATGTTCGGTCCGTTACTCTACAACATTTCTCTCTACTTTGGCTACATTGATTTTTGGTGTAAGCGGATCCAATAATAATCTTAATCTCTTGTAGTTATAAAGAGTCTTGGTCTAGTTACTTGTATTGTACCTGTACCTGACCCTCTACCTTGTATTGTACCCATACCTCTACCTGTATTTGTTATTATTAACACTAAACAGCCAGTACAGTAGTATACAATATTTTTTTTTCACTGTTGATATAAATTTCAAACCAATTTAATCACCTCACAACTACAATTAATTAAATACATTCAGAATATCTCAAAACTAAGTAAAAATACAATAAAAATTCATCATCCCTTTAAAAATATATATTCTCATATGATTTATTTTGATGGTGACAGTCAACAGGATCGCGTGTGACTGCGACATACTGTGGTTCCTGAGTGAGCCCAGCCTTGACGATCACCTCATCTACGGCAGGTGCAAGAATGGTACCTTTATCTCTAACATCGACGTGGACGAACTAGAGGCAGAGTGTCAGGTGGATCACCAGGATTATCCGGACGAGTTTTATCCCTCACTTGGCTAATGACAACGCTTCTACATTAACCATTAACCACCTTCTGAATTTATAACCCCAAAAAATCATAAACTAACTACAGACAAGATAAATAAACAACAGCTCAGACAAGATAGACAACAGTTATTGCAAATATATTGAAGTCTACAGTCAATAAATTGTCTCATTTGTAAAGGTTTCAGTCTTCATCAACATCAGTGGTGACCTTCAGGACTCGGAAGATGGTATTGAATGCTTATCTTGCTTAAAATACTCCTAAACAAACCAATAGGTGGAATATTACATTTATCCTCTTCACCAAATGATCGGCTCGTTAGCCGCTTGGGCGATCGGTCACGTCTCTGTTACGCATTGTTGGCAAAAACTGGGAATGCACCGGCTCCTGAATGTACCTGAACCCGTTCCAGTGTTGGTCAAGTCTGGTCTTGAAAGAGCTCACACTCGGTGCCATCACAACACTCTCTGGCAGATTGTTCCAAGAGTTGACAACTCTCACTCCGAAAAAGTTTGCCCTCACAATTTTTTGGACCTGCAGCTTCTTCTTCTTGAGCTGTGACCCCTTGTGGGGCGAGCGTCTGCCAGCTCCAAGTAAGGACACTCAACTGAGTAGTGCCCCTTGAGATGTTTATGTACCTTAATTAGGTCTCCCCTTGCCCGTCTGTAGTATAAGCTAGGCAAGTTCAGGCACTCCAATCTCTCAGGGTAGCTGAGGTGCCGCAGTGAAGGCACCAGTCTGGTGGCCCTCCTTTGAACATTTTCAACCAATTGACAGTCCCTAGTATATCTCGGGGACCAGAGGGGGTGACAGTACTCCAGATGGGGAAGCACTTCACTCTTGAAGAGTCTTTATATACTAAATAAATTACGGAAGGAATAAAAGAGTTTAATATCTTTATTGTCTCTTTTTACCCTCACACACACACACACATTAAACTTTTCCTGTAAATCTTTTATCAATCTCATATATTTCCATAACCTAAGATTAATGTTAGGTAAGGTCATAGTCGTTTAGATAAGAAATTAAGATATTTTTGCTGGTGTGACAAAACAGATGTAAACATTCTAATTCTAAATGTACATAACTGTTTATAAATGCGAATATTACCTGGTATTGGCCGGTGTTAAAGACCATATTAAAGCACTTTAATAGTAGGCCTATTGGGAGCCATTACTATACTACAAATCATCCGAAATATCACCGTACAAGTAAGTTAAGTATGTGAAGTAAATAAACAAAAAATCATCAATCAATCATTAAATTAAAAAGTAAGAAAATAAGTTTGAATGTAATTAAGTGATTTTATTCTTACCCGAGTCCCCTATAGTGATGATATACGGAGACAACATTAAATATTCTCTCTTTTATATGTAATTATCGTCCATTCGTTTGTTCTCTTGTCCGTCTCTCTTCTCTTGTCCGTCTCTCTTCTCTTGTCTGTCTCTCTTCTCTTGTCCGTCTCTCTTCTCTTGTCCGTCTCTCTTCTCTTGTCCGTCTCTCTTCTCTTGTCCGTCTCTCTTCTCTTGTCCGTCTCTCTTCTCTTGTCCGTCTCTCTTCTCTTGTCCGTCTCTCTTCTCTTGTCCGTCTCTCTTCTCTTGTCTGTCTCTCTTCTCTTGTCCGTCTCTCTTCTCTTGTCCGTCTCTCTTCTCTTGTCTTACTAATTGGCTCACATCATCATCTGGTAAAGATTGTGTTCGAGGGCCTTAATAACATTCAACAGTCATTTAATCTGTGTTTTTCTGAACCTAACAGTAACTCTGTTTTACACTTGATGCTTCTAATGAATGAAAATATTGTTATTTATTGTTAGACTTGTTGGTACGAGTAACGTATCTCAATAATAACAGTAGAATACTTTGACTAATACCTACATTCGGATGAGTTATGACGTCATTGCGCGGGCTCCAGAAAACAACAAACAGACGATATCTCAATAATAACCCCTGAAACTCCTATTTACAAGGTCGTAAACCATTAATACACTCCATGATAACCAATTGACATTTGATTGTTATAAATGTGTGGAAATAAACGTATCACAAAATGACTAAGAGCTTTAAATGAAAAGTAGTGTTGTGTGCTAGAAGGACCTAAGTTCATGGCGGCTGAGTCAGTGACAACAAGGGAAGACTCACTTGGTAAACTTTTAACCATTTTATCCTTTAATTTACCTTTTCCCGCACTGACTACAAAGATAACACAAGCCAATGGACCACAGTTGCATTTACCTATGTGTATGTGGAGTGAAATAAGACAAGGAGTGAGAAATAATGTAATAAATAAGAAAGGACGCTGTGGGGGAATGACCGGGAGGTGAGACCAAATAATCGGAGGGCAAAACTATCTGTCACCACCTTATTAAAGACCTCATTCCTTCACCATGTAGACCAGTGACACCCTCGTAAGATGGTCAAGAGGAAGAGGACTCTCAGTATTAAGGAGAACAGCGACAGTGTCAACCAATCCAGGTAATAATAAAAAACGATTAAATCAGTCCCCGCCATCTTGGTTTAAGTCCCCGAGTTGGTGGTGAGGTATTCCTCCTTTTGGGGATTTATTTGGCGTATTGGATGACGGTGATTTATTCTATTAACAGGGATGAGACGTACAGATGACGAAGGTAATGATGGGTGAGTCATTAGAGGGCTAATTAATAAAATACGACGTTAAATGAGGAATATATCCGTAGGTGGTCGCATTCAACATGGCTACCCACTCCAACTTCCAGGGCGGGACGAGTTTATTTTTTTCCATTTATTCATATACAAATTCACTTATATCATCCAGAATGACAAGAATAAATACAGAATTAAATCCCCTAAACTAATGAAATAATCCCCACGTGATGACAGAAAGGTATAACTGATATATTAATAAAGATATAAGTATAAATGGATAGTTTGGTGGACCTAACGACTGAACTCACGCCCACAAATATAATTACTTTAAACACGTATGTAATTAATGGTTATAATATTACTAATAACACACTAATTGATTTAAAACCTAACCTGATGATCTTATAATAGTAATTTGTAAGGTTAGGTGTGACTAATATTATACCTAGAAACTGTCATATTCTAATCTTGGTTTATAATCACCTTTAATTATTGTTTAAAGAATTGATTTACTATATATATGTAATGTAGAGTTAAATGGTAGTTAGATAGGATAGTGTCTGGTTAGGCCTATATTTAAAAGGCTCAGTGTTTTGGGGTTACTGCAGTAGTTAATGGGGAGATCCAGGATTTATTTATTTTTATTTTTTACTGAATGTATGTTGGTGTGATTTATTAATAGATCTGTAACCTCGCCATCATGTATACAACCATAATTTGATTGCTTGTCATTGCATAGCCACACAACTTTGGGGCTTTGGTGATTTAAAAAGGAAATTATGAAACCAAACTGAATCTGATCATAGCAGAACATAACCGCCGTGCAATAAATTATGCCGATACCTTTGCTTCTATTGAAATTGGATACTGTTTTGTCTTTTATTGTTTGTTTGTTGAAGACACGTTGAGAAATTCTGGTTTTATAAATTATATACTAGACAAATACAAATATAGCTGCCAGATACTTCCAGTCAAAAATACAAAATAAAAAAGTAAAAAATAAATAAAAATTCGAGTACTGTATTGAGGTAATGGCATTGAGTTAGGATGTTACCAAAGGGGGTTTTAAATATGCACATGTAGCTACGGTATTATCACGTCTAATTCCAGTTTTATTGATTATGGGAGTTAATTATAAAGCTAGGGGGGGGGATAAACTTCACATGAACCTCTGACTCTACAATATTTACAATTCCAGCGATGCGGACCAAATAAATGAATACCCCAAGCGGCTGAAGACCCATGGGAGTCCCTGGAGACCTGAGGAAGATCTAGGAGGAGAGGAGGCGGCCCAGTGTGACCACAGCCCACTAGGGTCCCCGACATCTCCCTCCACCACACAAGGTACTGAGGTTGACGTATGGAAATTCTTAAATGATTTTATAAATTTACAAATATACGTAGCTTGGATATAGTGTAGTGTTGTGTTGTGTCAGGTCTGACTTGTAAACTTGTTATTAGTTTTGATGACATGTTCATTATTATCTCATCTAATTGTTTTTAAGTACTGTATATTAATTACTTTCTACTGTAAGCTACTAATGACCTTAATTATATAAAATAAACTGGATGACTTACTTGTAGATATAATATATTTTACTGAACTATTAAAATTAAGTTTAATTACTGTAGTGGGGAATAATAATAATGATAATAATAATAATAATGATAATAATAATGTTTTGAACTTATAAAATCCACATTAAGTTGTTGTTATTTTAATGAGACTTTTATTAACAGTATTGCCACTCACCTCCTCAGGGACAGTGCCAGAGAAGACAATAGTTCCTGCAAGTATCTCACAACCACTGCCAGACGTGCCTTTACCCACACCACCACCGGTTGTTACACAGACGCGACCGACGCCACAACTACGTACAAGTGCCAGAGTGCTTAACAAACAGCGCCGGGAGGAAATCAAAGCGGATCCCGGTCTCTCTTCCTCGCTGCTCAACAAGAAGTCGGAATCTGCAGGTACAGTATGTGCTCGAGTGGCGGTACATAGATGGTGTTTTACATCATGTGAGCAATAGACACCCCATATTAATTCACCTGTTGATTAAACACCTTAACACTAACCCAACCCCACCCAGCTTATTTTACCTGAGGATTAAACACCTTAACACTAACCTAACCCAACCCCACCCAGCTTATTTTACCTGAGGATTAAACACCTTAACACTAACCTCACCTAACCCAATCCAACCAAATCCAACAATATACTTATCCGATATTTTTACTGTATTGGCGTTCATTATTTCAGGGTTGGATGGAGAATATGCTGAGGAGGAGGATGCCCTTGGCGGAGGCATCGGGAAGAAGAGAAGACGCCCCTGGGAACTGTGGTCGATGGAGGATAAGAACATATTTTTTGAATCTATAAATGAATGTGGGAAAGATTTTGAGGCTATACAGGTGAGAACTTCTCCTCAGATTCAGATTTCGTTTCTTTCTCATATTCGGATTTCCCATTTCATTTCCTTCTCAGATTCGGATTTTATTTTCTTCACCGATTCATATTTCATTTCATTCACTGTACTCGCTTTGTAATGTTATGTAATGTATTGTACTTTATTTGTACTGTATATGTCTTTGTAATGTACTTCACTTTATTTGTACTAGATGTCTTTGTTTAATGGTACACTACTATCCACGCATGACTCACAGCAAACACGGTCTCTCTTTGCTCTCCAGAATTACTTGACGACCAAGTTACGGAAGAAAGGCGCTCCCTGCTGCCAGATAAAGAACAAGGACCAGGTACGACACTTCTACTACCGCACCTGGCACAAGATCTCAAAACACATAACGTTCAATGAAGGTTAGTTGTCCCGAGTTACCTTAACCCCCTCCACCCCCCCATGAGACCAGTTTTAAGTACTGTAAGGATACTGTGTTCTGTCGTGTAGCCTGAGGGATAGTTCCGAATCCCCCGAGGGCCCCGACGCCTGTTTTTAAGTACGAGATCCTGTTTTTTGTCTTGTAATGTGCTCATGAGATTTATTCATTGTACTCAAGGGATTAATTGGTATTCATAATTATTAAATGTTGGGGTATAAATCTGTCTCCTTAATTAAGTGCGTGTTTGTTTATTTATAGGTGTGAAGAAGGCGACACAGGAACTGTATGGGTTAATTAATTACGGGGAATTGCGTAAGAAGATTGGCGGTACGTTGGACGAGCGCAAAGCCCAGAAACTGCAGGAGCTGATTAGGAAAGGTTCCACGAGTGTGAGGGTGAAGGGGAAGAGCGTCCGGGTCAGAACACCAATTTGCCGAGCGTTGAAGAAACTGAACCAGATCGAAGGTGAGTTGATTGTTGTTGTTTTGGTCGTCCTGTATTATACCGAGCAGGAAAAGGCCGGAAACACTAACAAAGAAAATAATCACACGGTTTATTACGATAATTTATAAACCCAGATGTGGCTTATTTGCATCATGGTACAAGTTTGTGTGTTTTATGATTTTGTAATAGTCTTTCATGCTGTCAGAGAAAGAAAATAATTATATGGTTTAGGATCATTTATAGTTGCAGATATATAATTAGGCTACTTTATGATACAACTATGTGTGTTAGTTGAATTATACCATTTTACTTGTACAACGCGAGGTATGACAGCTGTCGTTTTCCCGCCAGAAAACCGAGAGAATGCAGTGTTGCGGGTACCAACGAGCATCACGGTGGAGGTGGTCCCCGCGAGCGTCCACGCCTGGTGCCGGGTACAGGGCCTCGCTCATAACCCTCGTGTCAGGGTCACTCTGCCACTACAGCGCCCCCTGGCAACCTTGATCTCTCACTTGCAAGAAAAATGGCGCAGCTCAAACTTAAAACTCGTATCCTTTGTTAATTGTGTGTAATAAATGCATTCTGAGCTTTATTTATTTATGTATGTATTCATATACTTTACCTTTTCTTTTGCATTGATCATAACTTTAGTACACAGATTTAATAACATGGAATAGATATAAATTGTGATTAAAATGGGGTTGTGTAATGGTTTCTTTTACCTATTTCAGTGGGGCAACATTTCGGCCAATCAATGCACATCATTTTCATTTCAATCTGGTGTTAAACTTTTATCAATATTTTCTTTCTGGTTGTAAAAACAGTTTGTACACTTTGAATTGTGATTATTTTTACAATTTCAGTTTGTTTATTTACATACAACAGTTCATAATTTCCTGTCATTGTTTTCATTTCCTTGACCAAACTTCAGCGTGACACACTCAGTTCTCGAGTCACGTTTCCCCTGGACCTGCAGACAGTGAACGAGCCAGTGCTTCGACTAACACCTGCCAAAGGTTACTTCGTTAAACCCATAAATGTCCAGGTAATATTGAATGTTACATTAAACATTCAGGTGCTTGGTATAGCACTCATTCATGTACAGGTATACAGGTTGATGTAGAGGATACTGGTAGTTTGTTGAAGGCTCATGTAATTTCCAGAGCAACAATGAAAGAATTACTAAATAAAAAAATGGCCAAGTTCTTCAATAGGTGCTGTCTTACCATTAATGAATATGTAATTACAATGTTGATTATTTTACCATTGACATTATGGTACATTGTATGACCCACAGATTGCTACCACAGCTATTTATGCCATTCACTGTCACAACTATAGCAAGTGTATTGAACTGTTTTAACCCATAAATGCCAGCCGTCGTCTGTGGAAGTTTCGTGTTCCTTGAATTCCATTATTGTGTATATGGTTGGGGGGTTAATGAGGAAGCCTTAGATGCCGATTAAATGATTGTGTTGTTCTCCCCAGCCTGAGGTCCTCCTGAAGAGCTCCTGTGTATCTCTGTCAAGTCACGAAGCAAGACTGAGACGTCGGGGGGAGAAGTTGGGGAGGAGCAGCAAGAGAAAGGAAAACAAACAACAACAGGAGAAGGAAACGGAGGAGAGAGAAGGTGCTACGAGAGACTCAGAGGGGAGAGCTGGGGTGCTGGGGGGCGACGCAGAGAGAACTGACCCGGGTGGTGTGGGAGACGCTGACGGGAAATGTCGGGAAGTGGAGGTTCTCGGCGGGGAGTTGGAGGACTTTGGGGAGGTGTCTCAGGAGGAACATGAGGACTGTAGTGATGGAGAGGTCGGCTGTCTTAACTCTCCTGACGGGGATTCAGACGACTTGATCAGATTTTCACCAGATAAGAATCCCAACGCTTCCACCATCCCCTTCATTACCCAAGTGAAGGAGGAACCAATAGACTCGGACGAAGTGATGACCTCGACCAGAGAAGATCTAGACCCAGATATTAAAGTGAAGGAGGAGTCGGAAGGTGAATCTGGTGACACGCTGCGACAGTTGCTGGCGCTGGAGACGGTTGCCAGCGCCAGGGTCATGGACGATGATGCCGAGGTGATTTGTACTGGTGAGAGCACGAGACTCACCGCACACGTCGCAGATGCACACAGAGGATCAGCGTCTGCCAACCAGGTATTATAGTTTGTATTAACCTTAACCCCTTGAGTATGATGACATTGTATTCAAGGGTTTAATTCATTGTAGTCAAGGGTTTAAGTCATCATGGTCAGGGTGTTTGTTGTACATCTTTATAAATTTTCATGGCAATTGACAACATCTTGAAAAATTTTAATAAAAAGAAACTAAATTAGGAGACAATGTGTACTGAGGGTGTGATTGGCCAACAGGTTGCAGCTGCGGAAGAGGAACGGGGACTCGCCACATCTCCTGAACCCGAGGAGGAGGAGAGAAACCCCGGCACTGAACCAGAAGAAGGCACTGAACAGGACATAGAGGCAAAGCTGCAGAAAATCCGTGACGGCTTGACTATAAACTCAGTGGGAGGGATTACCATTGGTGAATTGTACCTGATAGTGAGAACTTGTCTGTTTATCTACATGAGTAAGCTTTACACACACACACACAACACACACCTTTATACACATACTCACATAACACACGCACACAACACACACACACACACACACACACACACACACACACCTGCACACAACACAAAACACACACACATGCACAAGAAATAAATTAAAGTCAGTACATTTATGTGTATATCAGAATGAAACATAACTTGAAAGCTCTTATTTATAGGTGTTTTAATGCATGATTCACCTGTATCATGTCAGAACTTTAATATACAAACACACAGAGAAAGTTTCCAGTAGGGGCATATACCGCCCTCCACCTCCCCTCTAGTGGCAACCTCAGGAATCAAACAACCCTTTACAACAAGTATCTGGTGACCTGGGGAGCTTCACAATATCTGATGCTGTGTTATCTGATTTATATTTTTGTTATTAATCAGTCCTTCTAATGTGTTAGGATTTGGCATAGAACTAATTCTTGTGTTTATGGGAGGTGGAGCAAGGAATCCGTAAGCTGCCAGTTAAAAGCTAAATGCTCGTGTTACTCTCTCTATGTCCTGTCTCAGTTCATACAACCTCTTACTCATGTCTGTATCTTTTGGAGAATAAATTAGTGAAAAGGAACCTTATATGTCTTTTAATTTTTTATTTTCACTTTTTTTTTCAGTTTGGTCAAAACAAAAAAATATGCCTTGAATATGAATTTGAAGATCAAGTAAGTAAAGCTAATGAAGATGGTCAAGTATTTAATGGCAGCAGCAATGTCTTGTCCAGTGAGAGAAATGGTGTTTTAAGTCCCTCAAGAATGGGTGGTGTATCGACCTCCACTGATCACTTAGCGACCAAGACAGTGAGTGACACAAGTGTACCTGACGTCCCTGGTGCTGGGATGGCCGCCAACTTGGTTCTAGAAAAAGACAGACAAAGTCAGATAAAGAAGAAAGACTCTGTGAAGGTAACAGAGGCAGAAGTAGACCAGGGAGGAATAATTTCTGACTCAAATCTGACAGAGAAAAAATGTTCAGCTGTGGAGAACCTGTCAGGTATGTTGGCCCAGTTGATGACCATGACCAGAATGATACTGGCCAAGTCTTCAACAGACACTTGCTTATGTGGCCATATTTGTGGCCGACCTGGAAATACATTGCGTAGCCCAACCAGCGGGCGTTGCCAGGGAACCCTGGGCATTGGACGAAGTCCCGGGAATACCCGCAGCCCGCGTACCGGGAAGGTCACAGTGCCGGGTGGCGGTCAAAGTCCACGTACTGGAAGATTAACAGCGGCTGGTTGTCTCAGTCCTGGCATTAACAGCCCGGGATCCCTCCAGAGTGTAGCATCAGCTGGGCGGAGTCCACTAGCTAACAAGTTGGCCAGGGAACGTTCTAAACCAGCCTCGGCAAAACGATTAATCCCTGAACATCCGGAATCATCTTTATCGCTGGTAAGACAACATTACCCTTCAGTCTGCCTTCTCATGTTGGTTTCAGTTAGGTTGAGTGAATTATAACTGTTATCTTTGCTCACTAAGTTGCTTTGTCAGTGTCTGTAGGATCTAGACTTTTTTCCAGGTCTTCTGAGTTGAGTACTGTTGAACAGTGAGTTGCTAACTTGGTTATTGGATTATCAGCCCACAATTAATGGAGATGTGATCATTCTTTCAACAGATGAACGGCAGGCTGGGTGACTTGAGTACCGGCACCCTCAGTGGTGGACTAGAAGTGTCCTTCCTCACCCCGGTGTCTTCCACCGGAACCAACGCTACAACCACCACATCTATCAGTCAGGATGTCTGTGGCCAACTTCCAGTGAACGTCGTTGCCACGGGATCCCCGACACCGGTAACGGGACTGAGGGTCGTTCTTGGGACTGGAGCAGAAGCCGGAGAGTTCAAGGTTCCCAATGGTCCGGCTCCTCGCCAGGCCCACGCCCAGCAGGCCAGCTTCAACGCCCAACTAAGTGTAAGCGTCTGTAATATTTGTAACCTATAATGAATTGCTGCTGATAGGTGATGCTGGGTTACGTGAAACAATGAGTGAATAATAATGATAATAACAATGATGATAATGTTAATAATGATGAGGCCCGTTGCAGAAACTCCTACCACGGTACAACAACAGACCAGGAAGACGAGTGGTGAGGAAGAACGTGGTGGTCCAGCGTCAGTTGCCTCTACTGCCCAAGACTGTGATACAGACCCCGGGTGTTGTCACAATGAAGGTCCTGCAGAATCCTACCCAAGATAAGGTGAATTAATTTCTCTGGGTTAAGTTGTGTCTACAGTGTTAAATTATGTATCAATATATGTTTTGGGGGGAATTATTTAGGTGTATGTTCCTTGCATTTGAAGGTAAAAAAATGGTAGCCAAATCGTCAGTGGGTATTTCATATTTTCCTTCACTCCATTATATGTGTATAGGGGTGGGGTGGGGTAGGGAATCCTTAGCCACTAGTTAAGTAATAGGAATATACCTGTGGTGTCTAGTGGGGTTACTTATCAGTATTTGTTATTTCACTTGCAGATGAAAACTTTAGAGGTTGGTGGAAGTAGTGGGTTCATCCCCATCACCATTGCTCCATCTTCCCATGGTGGAGGCACAGCATCAGGCACCTTCAACATGGCAAGAACTCAGCCCCTGGCCTCCTCCACACACTCTTCATCTACACATTCAGTTAGGAACTCATTCATCCAATCAATCCAGTCCTCTGTCAACCAAAATGTCATTGCCTCACCCGTTCAGTTATCTGTTGTACCACAGCTGCAGCAGACGGCACCACCACCCATTACACCACTTCCTTCAGCAGCCAATGCCATCTCAGTCAATATATCGGGTCAACCGCTCCTTACTGTGGAAATGCCCACCTCGGTTCCCGCACCGCCTCTAACCACAGAATTGCCGAACAAACTCGTACCAGATCTCTCGGATGTTGTTAACTCTTCTAATACAATAAAAATTAGTGCTTGTGATACTTCTACTCTGGTGAAAAACACTCCTTCAGATAATAGTTTGTTAAGTTCCATGGTCTCACAGGTTCTGAGTGAACTACCTGATCTTAGCACACCACCGGGAACACCTCAGCCATGCCACTCCAGGAGGTCCCCAAATGGCAATGGAATGGCCAGTTTTGTAAGGAACTTGGAAGGTGGTTGTTCATCTAGTACATCAATAAGTGTTTCTTGTTCACAGTTACCATCCCCATTGCACTTCAACTCCACCCTCTCAATAGAATCCATACCTAGTCTCGGCGGCAGCATGCTGAACAATAACTCGCAAGTCACCTCTTTACCACCGTCACTATCCTCTTCGTTGCCGCCGTGTTTGTCACCCCCATCATCGTCACCCACTCCGTGCGTCTCATCGTCACTCTCGCCCATCTCCACGCTGCTCACCCCCGCCAGTACACGTCACCTGGAGCTATCTCCTCCTCCGTCACAGACCAATGCTTTCACCTCGCTCCTCAACACACCAACATCCCAATCCAGCAGGAGCATCACCTCCACGCCAGTCCACGATAGATCCCCGACAACACCTTCTATTTCTGCACTACTGTCATCTCCACCTGACCTCAGTAAAAGCTTCTCAAATATTCTAGCTTCTAGTGACCAAGGACATCACCCAACAGTCACGGTATCCACAGCTAATGTCCCAGAGCTGCACATTCCAGAAGGAAGTGTCGGTCTACCTCTACTAGACATTTCTCTTGGAGGCACAGTCACTCTAGCAGACCATACACCAGATCTTCTGAGACCTGGATGTCACACGGGGCTGGGAGTTAACCTCGTGTCCTGTGCACCAGTTACCACCGTCACTTCAGCGTCTGCCGCGTCATTGTCTGCTACAGCCACCATGATCGGTGTGAACCCTGTGCAGGAGACCAGTAGTGACAAACTGTTAGACATTACACTCGGGATTTCCAATTCCAACTCAAGCTTTTCCAGTAAGTTATTGTAAATTAGATAACTCGTAAATTACTTTTATAGTATTGTTCTATAAGATACTGAGGAATAATGTGTCAAAGCCACTGTTCCATTCTTGACTGTTGTTGATTGTTTGAGGTATACTCTACTGTACAGATATTGTCTTAAACTTCATAAACATGTTATAGATTTTTTTTTTTTTTCAGGTTTACTCGCTGCTGCCACTCAGCCTCGTTGCCTTGACTCCTCGCTCTTAGAAATATCCTCCATAGAGGGTGACGGTTGTAGTATTGGCGGAGACAACGCCACCACCATAGTGAACGGCACTGACGTGGGCAACGTGTCTGTTGTGGGAATATCTGGCTTTCCTGCGTTATCCACCACGCCTCCCTCTCCACCATCTTCCCCTTCACGTCTTCTTCAGCAGTCAGATAACCAGTGGCTTAACAGTGAAGTTAATGACTTTTCTCTCTCCAGTTTTCTCGGCCACTTTGAGTCGCCAGTGAAAAGCTCAAATTCACGTGGGTCTTCTCAAGCCGCGCCTTCGGGCCCCTTTATGCCCAGCCTTAGCTCGGTCTACAATGAAAACAGTGTTGACTTTACTGCAACATTTGCAGAGATGAAAGCACAGGTGTCTGGGGTCTTTAAGCAGTAATATATGTGATGAAACTTTTCATTGTGGTAATATGAAGGGGATACTTTATGGGTGTGACTGGTTTGTGTGTGTTTGTGTAAATGCACAAATTGATGAACAGTGAGAATGTCCACATTGATGTACATGTGCATGTTTGCTGTGTGCATATGTGAATTAACCTGTTTTTAAAAAATTATGCTTTTAAGTTTATGTGAAATATTGTTTTTGGTTTAATGCAAATCAATTTATTATTTTATGAAATGGAAATATTGTTAATCTTATTAGACTAGCTCTCAGGGGCAATATGAGGATATAACAAAATTAAAGATTAGTTTCATGTAGTACAGTAAAACATCAATTATTCGGACACATCGGTGCTTTAGAAATTCAGAAAAGTCGGTCTCTGTTGTGTATGAATTAGATAACTTTAAAACATATATATATATATTCAGAATTTGTTATCATTTCATTCTGATTTAACAGTCCCATCATGACAACCCAGTGGCTCATTTGGAAAATTTTTTGGGAAGGCAAATGGTCCTGAGTGATCACCCTATATGTACTTTACTCACACACTGTCGTGTTGCGTCAAGCATGGGGATGTTGCGTGGGTCACATGGTCCACTTGGGTGAGAATGTGAGGCATGTGATGGGTATATGTATGGGGGTGTGTCACTCGGTTCACTCTTGTGCCTCACTTTGTGCACATCTCACTTTCATGTTCACTATTATGTTTAGTGCTTGTGGTCTGTACCAATGACAGTGATATAGTCAGGCCACAAACAAGACCATTCATAATTTTAGTCTTTATTAACCACCTGAAGATCAGCCCCAACTCCTAGATAGTTTCAGGATAATAAAACTTCAGTCTAGGTAAGCTTGGGGGCAAAACTTCAGATTACTTATGGGGGCTAATGTTCAGGTGATCCACAAAGCTTGTCTACATCACTGGTTTATGGTGGTGTTAGGAGCTAGGTATACAAGCACAGTATTACACAAAAAAAAAGGAACAATCATGGAATGTTCTGATCTTGGTGACAGAAACTACAGCAAGATTATGGTATGGAGACAAACAGACAAACACTATACCATTATCAAGAACAAAGGGAAGAAAATTTGCTAGTCAATGGGAAACGGAGCTGCCCGAGTGAGGGAAAATATGAGATGACACAAGAGGGAACTTGTCGGAGAATACAACTTCAGTCCAGAAAATAACACAAAGGACGTTAGGTATTATTACATTACATTGGTCTTTCATTGTCAAGTATTATTTTAACACTATATATTTGGATTTTCTTTCATCTAAAATGTATATAAAGTATTTGACTAAGAATGGTATTATAATAGTTTGTGAAGTATTAAAGGAATGTTTAGTTAGATGAAGTTTTATACTGTATGTAGGGAAAATAGAATTGGGGAGGGGGATGATCGCATTTTTCAGGTCCCCCTCTCGATTAGTCCGAATTATTGATGTTATACTGTTGTCTTGTGTAATCCCTTGCATACAGTGGACGAGAGATTAATGTAGGGGGATTATATTCTCGTAAATTTGCACAAATTGATCGTAACTTCTGATGAGAGTGATTGGGGTGTGTTCCAGGATCTCAGAATTATGTTACTACCGTCGGAATTTCAAGTTTTTGTTAAGGAAGATGTTGGTGAATACTTTTGAAAGTTTTTAAGTGATCGGTTACTTTCTTCTCTTGTCTTGATGCCATTTTTTTAGGTAGTTGAAGTAAGGCAATCACACACACACTCACTCAGGGATGCTGGGGTACTGGCAACACACCACATCACCACCACCAGTGAAATAAAGACATTGTTTCTCATTCAATATTCATACTTTTTTCTTTTTCGATGGATGAAATTTTGCTCGTAATTACTGTACTACTGTACGTTTATCTGATGATATATAGCACCAGAACATGCATTACACAGAGTGGAAGCCACACTCCTGAAATTCTTGGTTTTAAAATATGTGATGCGCCGTATAGAATCCACGGAAATGTAATGTGTAATAAATTGAGGGTTTGGCCTCTGTGTATTAAAGCCGCTAGCCTGCTTGATTTAGTAGTAATTCAGGTCGGGTAAATACTGGATGCACGGGCCTGATGCCTTCGTCCAGAACAGTTATAGCAAAATGGAATAGATTTTTTAAGCTTGTATATGAGGGTATTGTACTGCACTGTATATAAAAAAAAGGGATAAAATTCATTAAATTTTGTAAGAAAAATAAACTAGAATTATTTTGCAACAAAATTAGTTCCTAGGTGGAGCAAAGCAAGAATCTCAAGTATTTATCAGGTTACGAGGTTTGAGGTCACGTGAGACTGTTGGCAAATTGCGACTACAAATCTGTATTGAAAATTTGGGTTAGCTTAAGTTGGTGGATCATGACTAGTGTGTGTGTGTGTGTGTCAGAAACTGGAGAAATGTGTTAAAATGGTCCTGTGTCAGCCATTGAAGTTGGTGTAGGAACGTGTGAGTGTGAACTATGAGTTGGTTAAGAGCAAAATAAAACAGTACAGAATAGAGATTATGAAATGTCTGTCTGATAGTAATGGTGTGACTGATGAACGAAGAAATAATTTGATGCAATATGTAATATAATTAACGTGTGATCTAAAATACCTTCGCTGATGAATGAAGAAAGATTTTAACATGGAGGAGATAAAGTTTGTGAGGTGACATTTTTTCTTCACCGATAGAATTAACAGGTTCACAGGTAAAGTTGTACAAGTATGATTTCTACCGTACCACTCAAGATGACATACAACTGTAAGACGAAACACTCAACGTGTATGGACTGTGGCGGCGTACTCACTTAAACACTGTAGTACTGATGCTATTCCCAGACCACGTTGCTGCTACCTTATTCGTAAACACTATGCAGAAGCTGATTGTTGAAGTAGGTTTTAAATTGGTGTAGAAATTCACATACTCGTGCATTTGTGAAAGAGAAGTCAAATGAAAAGTTTAATTTCTCCTGTTTAAATTTTATGAGTTAGTTAAAATTGAATGGTTAGTTAGTTAGTTTGTCTTGTAATATATTTCCATTTTTAAACCATTTTTGCTCTCTATATTACAAGCCATATGATCTTTTATGAATACATTATCAGTTCTTAAAAAAATATTATGTTGATTTTTATTACTGAAAAACACTGATGTCTTTAAAGGTTCATTAAGAAAGTGTTTTTGTGTTTTATCTTAGCAACCTTAGCCACAGTTATCATCTTATAGCATAGAATTACACTTGTATACTGTACCTGCATTATGTTCAGAGGTTCGTCGGGCAGGTGTTTGTAGGTTCATCTTAAGACATAGGCACAGTCATCATCATAACATATAAAATAAAACGTGTAATGCCTGTTTTACGTTCACGGTTTCATCAGGAAGGAGTTCTAAAGTTCGTCTTTAATCACACACACACACACACACACACACAGTCACTAAACACACACACAGTCACTAAACACACACACAGTCATTAAACACACACACAGAATCATTAAACACACACACAGTCATTAAACACACACACAAATCATTAAACACACACACACACACAGTCATTAAACACACACACAGTCATTAAACACACACAAATCATTAAACACACACACAGAGTCATTAAACACACACACACAGTCATCATCATCTTCTTGGGTCTAACAATACCCCCCCCCACACACCTACGGTAAGTTATAAGGTTATTAGGGTGAAGTTCATTTGTTTATCGTTGCAAAATAAAGGAGAGAGAGAGAGGGACCACAGTGGGTTACCTTAAATTATTCAACTTATACGCCCAAATTTACAGTCGGTAGCTTCTTGCTGTGGGGGATTTTGTAGAGTCTCAGTTTGACATTGTGTGGTACAAGGAGTTGGGTCATCCGTGTGTGATTAATATATACAGGTATTAGTATGTGGGTATGAAGGCAGTTTATTATTGGTGGTGTGAATGTGTCAGGTTTTTTTTTTTTTTGTACTTGTGTGATTGATTTTGTGTGGATGATATTTTTTTGTAGTTGTGATGTGAATTATTTTTTTTTTATAACTGTGATTTGCATGAATGGTCTTATTGCAGTTGTAAATGCATAAGTAAAGTGTAATGTTGTTGCAGCTCAATTATTAAATAAAGTAATGTTGAAGGAGCTGTAGTGTATTGTTGCAGCTGTAAATGATGAACAACACTGCTGCTGCTCTGAACATATACACTGAATAACAATCATTAATTATTTTGTGAAACTCTGAATGAACAAAAGTCGTACAATAGATTACACGTCGATGAACTTCTCCCCAAAAGAGTTCGAACGTAAACACAGCCACTGGTTGGTAGTAAAGGTCTTGGTAGTTAAATTCTCTACATAACAATAACTAGTTAGGAATGAAGATGGATTTGACAACAGTTTCGAAAGGATTGTGTCAAGGAGCTAGTCATTTGGTTTTGGTGTCGACGTGTGATGTGTTTGTGTGTGTGTAAGGTGTCAGAATTACAACTACTACTTATTCTTATTTTTTTTCTTCTCCATCTTCTGTTCATCATCCTCCTCCACCTCATTCTTGTTCCTCCACTTTCTCCTACTCCCCCTCTTCCCCCTCCTCCTCCATACATGTGTGTAAGATATCAGAACAGTAACTCCTCCTCTTCCTCTTACATTGAAAAGTTCTCCAGTAGGCAACAGACTTATCTACCATAGATCCCTTACATCATTTGAAAGGAAATATAAACAGAACAGACATAGTGAGAGCATGTTTATCCCTCAGTTCAACACAACCTATGATTCAAAACACAAGTTCAATGTTTACCCAGTTTTTTCCTAATATGTGGTGGCTTTTTTCGTAGGGCAATAATGGGTGTCTGCGTTGAGAGGCCCTCCGCTACAAATAGATTTTTAAAACCATGACGAATTGTTCACGAAAATGAAATTAACGTAAAAGGTGAAGTTAGGGAATATTTTTGTACTCTTGTATAAGATCTTCGAGCGACGTAGAAATGACATTGGATATTTTCATTCGTGTACGGGTATCCTTCGATTTACGATGACCGTTCACGAGGTCTCCTGGTTTATAAAAGTAGTTGACGGAGAAGACGATTTAATTTGCAATAGGATTTTTAGGTGCACAACCCTTATCGTATATCGAGGTATACCCGTATCCATTTTTAAAAAGAATCATGTACGGAAAAAAAAAAATCTTAAATATTTTTGTCATGTATAGAAAGAATTTTATCTGAAATCCAAAGAGCCACATTTAAGTGCTGGTTTGAGTGTTACTTATTTCTCCTTGATATTTTGTACTTGGCCTGTTATTAACACTTTATGAGGCTGTGCTATTTTTGTATTAAATATTCTGAAAACCTGTGATAATTGTTTAATATTTACCCTTAATGTCTTGTATAGTGTAACTGTTAACTGGTATGGTAATTACTTTGTGGTTAACCATCCCAAGAGATACCAGTCTGTGTAACGTGATAATATATAATGAACAATTTCCCTCATAATTTTTTGTGGGGGTATTGAGTCATGTTAAATGCAATAATAAAGGAATAGTCTGATGGTTACCTACAAACAGATAATTTCCATTTTATTATTGTTTAATTTGTACTGTTGTAGTGACCCTCCTCCCTCTAATTGCGATTTCTGGCAAGACAGCTGGTTGAATGCTTGGCTGAAATGGGTCACGTTGCACAAAGGATGGTACGAGTGTGGAAGGCGCTATTTTTGGTGCATAAAATAAGTGCTATTGTATTTTATGTACGTATCTATTTTATTGTTTATTATAGCAATAAATATGGCAGCTCATCCCCATTGCACGCAGTATTCAAACTTACGATACTAACTGATTTTGGAGGAATTTATATTATTATTATTATTATTTCATTTTGGTGCCGGTTAGTTGAATCTGCCGTTTGCCTGGACCTGATAACTGGGATTCTACCATATATTTTGTTATGCTTATGTTCAGAGGCATATTTCTACAAGAATCAAACCTCATCTCCATTTTCAATCACGACTAAATGGTAGGATAAATACGGAAGTGCCTCCTCATTTAACAATTGTACAAGTGTCTTCCTACATACATACCGTACACACTCCCTAAATACTAACACTTTCTAACACTGACACCAAACAAACTACAACAGTACTTCCTAAATAATAGTCACTACCTAATACCAATAAAATTACCAACACACACAAACCTAACATGATCCAGGCGTCTCCAACAATGTACTGTACTGTATTATTGAAACATATCCTACTGTTAAATATTCTACTCTTTTACGAAGATATAAGATGTGTCTTACTTACTCTCATCTGTCACTATATAAGGCCTATTAAGAGTCTATATAAGGTGACGTCTGCTGGAGTATAGGTGACAGTATATCAGTAGTCACAAGGTGGACAGGAGTTCAGGATGGATCAGATGACTTAACCTGTGAAAGAACCTGGTGTTACAACTATCCTCATCAAGCTTCAGTTACCACAGACTTTGATGGTGGTGGCCTGGTATGTTTTATTAGATGTGGTAACCATGGAATGATTATCTAGCATCTTTAGTCTATTATTGTGAGGTTCCTTAGGGTTATTCTGGGAGATTTAATATAATGTAAATAAACACAGAGTTGCCACATCTCATAAAACACACCAGCCACTTCAGAATGAGGAGTGACTGGCAGGAGGTCTTACACCCTCAGTCAGGGCAAGTAAAGCAGTGTACCAGAGGCCTTATGAGATACTGCTCTGTGTGTTGGTGGAATGTTCTGATTTTGGGGGTGATTGTGGCGGTGTGTAAAGAGTGATTGTGGCGGTGTGTTGGAGTGATTGTGGCGGTGTGTAAAGAGTGAGTGTCCTAATATAGTGATGATAATGTTAATAATGTGTTTGTAAGTGAAACTAGGGGTGACACACATACATTATGTCTAATTTAACTCCACAAACAAATATTTTAGGAAAGAAACCAGGAAAAAAATGTCACAAAAAATACTCATATCAGCATTTTATCCCATTATAGTCTTAAGTGTTGTATATTAATCAATAAGAAATAAAAGAGGAACAATATAACAGTAAGCATAAGGTGATATAACAAAGGAATTAAACATCAGAAGCCAAGTAGAAATTTCCATAAAGTGGACTTCATCTCTATATAGTTCGTTAAATGGAGGTTTCACATCTAACGAACCCTTGATATAATGGACTTCAATCTTCATATAGTCCATTTAATAGAGGTTTCACTAAAGAGGTAAACTATGGATCATACCTGGTACCTCTGATAGGGGGGTTTAAGGCCATATTGACCCCAAGGAGCAAATGGGTTAAAAACTCGGAGGAAATTTTTAGAAAGCAGTTAATTAATTCTTCTTCGGGTAAGTATATGGAGGATGGGGAGTTGTATTATGATAACGCTTATTTCTGCTAAGGTCTTATGTGCCATCTTCTAAGCCGTGCTGTTCACCAAACATATTAACCCCCTTCACTACGGGGACATCACTTTTAATAATGTTATCGGCAAATACCAGACAATTTCATTCAGCATGGAGAGGAGCCCATACACAAGAGGTTAATACAAAGTTACAAAAGTTAGAGTCTAGTATGAGGCTTTTATACGCTACAGTTTGGGGTTAAGTAATTTACATCTGATATGGATTCGAGATCCTCCTTATACACGGCAGTAAAGTGAAGTATACTGTACTGTATGCTATCAGGTGTGGCTACTGACAGTGTACTAACAGCCTGACGAGGGAGTATGGTAACCTGCTGGCTGGCTACTATAAGAATCAAGTGTTCATTACCTGTCCAAATATCAATAACACATGAGAAAATGAATTTGACAAGAAATAAAGTTGTTGAATATTAAACTGCATAAATTAAAGACAAAATACCCACAAAAGACAGTTTAAATGTACGTCTGTAATACAAGATGGTTAAGATGTACAGTACTGGATCCATTTTATCATTATTAAAACTCAATCATTTCCCTAAATATACCAAAAAATATTTACATACAACATCCAATATTTGTGTGACTCAATACATGTATGTCAGTGTACAGTATATTAAACTCGGGTAACTGCTTAACATTATATTTGCTTTATACATTAACCTTTCATTGGTACGACTAACAAGAAATACTACAATAAAATACAGAGGAAATAGTGCATACTGTATGACATTATTTACAACTTGTCTCACACACACACACACATATGCAAGGACAGACACATATGCAAAGACAAATGGACACACATAATAATAATAATGGTTGCCCCTTGTGTATTGAGGATGGTCGACCCTAGGGCCACCTAGGTGTGAATTTGTTAAAGGTGTAGAAGCTGTCGCTAACACAAATACATAATGAGCTGCCTGACCCAGTGTCAAGGAATAGTCCGAGAAGACCGGACAACTCGCCAACTGCACTGGCTATCCATTACCCCGGAACACGATCTGCATATCGATTAACATCCAGGTCCCCAATTACTGCTGGGTAGACAGGAGGCAAATGGCATAAAGAAACTTGCCCACAGTTTCACCCTGCCCAGGGATCGAACCCGGGTTCGCTCACTTGCGAGGCCAGCATGCTGACCATTACATCACAGGTTGCCACACACATGCATAAGCAAACACACACACATGCATATACTCACACACACATACAAAGACAGACACAAACAGAGACACTGATGCACAGGTCTTCACAAAATAAAAAGACTTCAGAAGGTTAATAGAGAGAAGTGAGGGAGACAAAGAGATGAAGTTGTTGCTTGATGCTGTAGCGGTTACGTCACTAAACTCTTAACAGTATATACAAGGCAGCATTAAATCTTTCCTAGTAAATTATTTTATACATTTGTGGGGCGGGGTGTGAGCATGTCTTCTCCAGTTAGTTATATATTACACAGTTATAATGAGTTTTGGCAAATTATTTATACAGTATTGAGATATATGGCATCTCAGTACAAGTGTTGAAATACATAGCCAGAAAAATATGAACTGTAGGTCGTTCGAGAAAATGTATACACAGTGAACCCTCGATATAACGGACATCCGTCTCTGTAATTGTCCGTTAGTTAGGGGTTCCACATCTAAAAGAACCTCGATATAACAGACTCTCCTTTCCATATGATCCGTTAGTTGTGGGTTTCACACATGACCCTCGATATAATGGTCTTACCTCTCCGAATAGTCCGTTAAATAGAGGCTTCACCGTACACTGCCTTATATTTCTGTGGCGATCGCATAAACGTTTGTCTTGGCTTGTTGATGTGTGTCGCACATCAACAAGTGAGGATAATGTTGCTGCTGAAATCTATGAATCAGTGAGTATACATTTTATTGAGACTCCCAGCAATAAATAATTCCTAACCCAAAGTATTTTAAGGATAAGTCTTACAAGTTTTACACAAGATTATGAACTGATGAGCATAATACCATGAATAAATTATTAATTATGCAATATTTTTGTATATAAATCTAGCAAAAAGAAAAACAATATCGATGAAACTTGCATTTTATCCTCGAGTAAATATCTATAAGCATAGGCGGATATAATTCTCACACATGTCAACAAGACTTATTTTCAACGTGGAAGTTCAACAACAGCCGTCATTTACCTGTACGGTATATAGTCACGTGGTAAAATGTAATAATATTCAGGGCATACCATTAAAGCACTATAGTCAAAGATTCTTAACCATTACAAAGTATTCCTGAGAGTAAGAAGGTTATGATTGACAACACACAGTTAAAGTAGTCTTAACAATGAGCGGCAGTAACTGGACTGTTTTATGGTACGTCTCTTCACCACATCAATCATCACACTAATTCTCATACTCTTTTCTGATTGGTTATATTTATATGTATTCTTTTACACCTCTGTATTACACAATTCAGCCTCCCATGTGTTCCCTTTCAGTAATTTTTATGTGGAGTATTATGTAAAAGTAGAAGTACAGGGTAGTGAGAAGTACTGTATTAACAACAATGATAGTTTGACCATAATACAGTAATTACAGAACATAAAATTACTTTATTCATACTTACCGACTCACATATATACAGTACATCAACTCTCCAGGATTACAATGCTTTTATCACTGACATACAAAAGCCCTTCTCTCCTATACCACCACGACACACCTCACAGTTATCACAAAACAAAACAATAACATAAAATATCTCAAGTGATTCAGTATTAACATAAATATTACATAACTTCATGATTTATGCCATATACATCGAAATATATTTACAAAAAAAACTTTCCAGATTAAAATTGTATCTAAATTTGGAAGGTAGAACATTGACCTTTACTTGGTTTAGAAATCAATTGCCATACACTAAACTGGTCCAACTGTTGTCCTTTTCTCTTTCACACCAACATAAAGTTTTGTCTACAGAACCTAATACAGTATATGTGGGGAAAAGTGTATGACAACATGTTTGACCAGTTTAGTCATTAATCACAAATAAAAAATGTCAATATAAGCTCTCGGAATTACATCACCAATGAGATTTACCTAAAAAGACTTCCATGTTTATAAACTTCATATTACGGTCTTGGTCGTCCACTGTCTTGACCTTGGCTGCTGCTGCTACTTCGACCTTTACAGTGGGTTCTATAATGACCATAATTGAATCTCCTCCAACTAAGCCACAAAAATGTTTCACTGGAATATCACTAATAGGTTCTTAAGATATCTCAATCAACTACATAGATATATAACGCACACACGCACGCGCACACACACACACAAACTAACTGCAAGAACCTTCCCTGCCACTAACAGGTCGTCTCGGAAAAATGTACTGTATACAAGCAATCACGCGAACTCCATAAAAATCTGTAAGGTATACATTTTTTTCTGAGACACCCTGTAGAGCATAATACCATGAAAAATAACTGAAGGGACTTGGACTCAGTAATACAGAGACAACATTCTTCTAGTTCAGGTTACAGACTGATAAGTGTTATGACTGCAGGCACAATCACACATACACTGTATACACTTACAAGTTTTATATATATCATTATCATCATTTACCTACCATGAGGCAGTTTGTGGAAGTTTCAGTAAGAGGCTTCATGTTTATCCACCCAAGAATCATTACAGGATCTTTAACTAAATTTCAGATGGGAAAGATAAAAAAAAAAAAAAATTAATGTCATCTTCAATATAAAGTTTCAGAAATGATGACATACTGAAATAAGACGTCTAAATGTATGATAATTTTTAAATTTTTTTGGGGGGGGGGAGGAAGGGGGGATTTAATTAAGACAATGGAGTGATTATTCTTAAGGACCCCACAGATAAGATATACATTAGGGATACTGCATGTAACACTCACACATTGAACGAGTATAAATAATATAACGTTATGAGAAGGACACATCTGGATTTTTTTGGTTTTTGTTTACTAGACGGTGAAGGGGGAGGGATGTTGACGTCTCTTACACTAGGTGGGGGAGGGACGTTGATGTCTCTTACACTAGGTAGGGGAGGGACGTTGACGTCTCTTACACTAGGTGGGGGAGGGACGTTGACGCCTCTTACACTAGGTGGGGGAGGGACGTTGACGCCTCTTACACTATCAATAACACACGAATGTACAGAATTTATAAATACAGGGTAACTGCAATGGACCTTTTGTTCACGTCGTTAATTAATACAGTTGGATCTATCCTGTAATACCAGAATACACCGAGACCTTATCATGTATTTGTATTTTATTTCTGACGCCCAGGGTACAGTAGTATTTTGGAACCCTAGATTACAGAAAGTGAACACAACTCATAACAACAAATATTTACTCACGGTTAAAAATAAGACGTGAGGGATACACAACTATTACATGTAGTACTGTGAGCCATAACTAACTCAAACAATGGTCAGTGGTCTGTCTGGGCGATGATGACCACTTCAATGGCAGGATCAACATGACAGAAAGGAGGGGCGTCGGGGGATAATATTGGAGATCTCTCGGTCGGAACCTTCTCGGTGCCCTCTGCCGGACACTCGACCGCTTGTGAAGAAAGTTCCTTGTTCCTGTACAAGATGAGTATTCCCCTTCTGACCCTCCTTCCCTTCTTCTTCTTCTTCTTTGACGGCTCTGTGTCCTGGTGCCTTGACCTCCACACTTGACCCATGGAAGGATACCGACCCTAGTCAAATTTCTCTCTCAGGCGGTTCTTCAAAATTATCGGGACTAGAGATAATATTGCCGCTGCGGCCAGGAGGACCTGTGAGGTAACAATCAGAAACCTCCGATGAAAACACACACAAGATACAGTACAGGGAAGCTTATGCCTATCCCAAGAGTGTCCTGGTCCTGGTGAGAGTATCCAATCTGTCATCTATTTCCTCCACGTGATGGCTGCCTAAAGTCACTGTACCTTAAAGTCCAATAATAGCTGCCATTCCTAGGAGCTAATATAATCTTTTCTCATACAACTAATTAAGAAAAAAAAACCTAAGTGATAATCATAGTGAAAATTCAGGTTTAATCTACATTACAATAGTACAAAAGGATTTATATCTACACTAATATACACACAGATCTAACTAAACTACTCAACTACTTTACTGTAATACTCATGGAAGATTCCTCAGCTGTAAACACAACACTGACCTTGACCTCTGACATAGCGACCCCAAGACTGTATTCAGAGAGAACTGCATCTGTCTAGGGGTAACTAAGGTACCTGTGTGCAATATATCAAGGTCACTGACACATGGAAACTCAAGTTCCTGTTTAAATACCATAAGCTGTGTGGGATCCAACAACAATATCTTCCTGGTTAGGTTAGGTTAGGTTATATAAGGGGTAACATTGGCAGGTTTACTCACCACAGACATTAAAGAGAAGGCATCGCTGGAGCTGGTGAGCTGGTACAGGGTCGTCCCAGCTTGTACTGCTAATATACTAGGAGGGGCCACACCTGTAAAATAAAAAGTAATTAAAAAACACCTTGCATATTTTATTTATCTTTAAAAACCAGAAGAATAATCTAATTTAGTATGGACCATTTGGTAATCAAGTACAGGTATAATTGATCTATAAATAATAAGATCTGAAATAATATGTACATTTAATGGCTCTCAGAAAAAAAATAATAATAACAGAGTTTAAGACACAAACTGACCGAAAAATGTACCTAACCAGAATGGCCAGAGAGGTACATTGATGATTGGGCTGCTGATGTTGATGAACCAGTTTGGAAGGAATGGTGTGATCCGCAGGAAGATGATGTAGAACAACAGGTTATCACGCTGCTTGTCCACCTGCCCATAACAAATGTATTCCTCATTATTTTTCTCATTTAGTCTTACAGGAATATACGGTGTCTCAAATTATAGTACACATTGGCTTATAGATTTTTGTGGTGGTCATGTGAATGTTTGTATTACGGCAGCAATATTTTCCTCGTTTGTTGATGTGTGAATGTGAGGTCAAGTGAATGTTTGTATTGTGAGAACATTTCCCTCACTTGTTGATGTGTGGCATACATGAACAAGTCAAGGCAATGTTGCTGTCATAATGCAAACATTCATATGACCGTCACAAAAACATTAAGGCATTTGTTCCCAAGACACCCTGTACATTATCTTGCCGAAAACCTCAGACACAGTTATCTTTACAAGGTCTGTTAATGGCAGATCTTAGTGCTACTGAATCTGTGAGAAGAAGGGTGTTATCCACTGTAACACCACATAACATGGTAGGATTTCTCCAGGTACTCGGGTAGTTTCCTCCTGTACTAATAATGGACAATAAACTTTATAACATTGTAACAAGAACAGATCGACTGCTCAAGCATCTAGTAAGCTGATAAGTGGTAATGTGGTAAATAAAATAAATACATAAAACTTGCTCTGTCAGATCTTGACTTATAGTGTACATAAAATTTCTCAAGAGCGATAAAAAGAAAAGACCCTTCCATTATTTTCAGGGGAATGCAATCAAACACAACCTAATCCAATATGACTGAGTAATAAAAATCCTAAAAAGACTTGTTATACCCTGTCACTATAAGAGTTACCCCTGTACTGCCGCTGCTCTACGAACTTAACAACAAACAACACAACTCACCTTCTCTTGCCACGATTTTGTGCGTTCTGGCAGGTACTTGAGTACGATGGGTCTGCCTGCTAAGTACGAGAGCAGGTAGCAAAAGGAGGCACCAGTTGCTGAGCAGAAGCAGATCAGCAGCAGCGCCAACTCCCAGCGGAAGAGGAAACCTGTCAAGACGAAGAACTGAATCATACAATATAATAATTATCTTTAGGGTAAGACACAATGACTGACTCGTTCTCCCTCACTACCATTCATCCCTTTTCAGTTGCTTAATCAATTTGTCTTGTCATACTATCCCCTTCCACAACATAACTTGGATCACCTGTAGATTAGACACCCCAGCTTATTTCACCTGATGATTAAACACCCTAAAGCTACCTGGGGGAGGGAAGGGGGTCAGGTAAGGTTATACAGTAATATCTCTGTTAGCCAAAATCCTTCTTAACCAGGATTTAAATTTGCTCAGAATTTTTCTCTCCATTCCAGATTTGGGAACAATTTTCAAAGATTGAAAATCAGGCACATTTTCCGGAACATTAAAAAAATTCTCTCCAAATTCCTCTGTTCTGGGGCTGAGAGTAAATTTACAGGGAGTTCCAACGGACTGCATCATGCTCCAGTGCATCCCCACAAGCCAGATGCTTGGGTGACCTAGCTGCTTGGATCGTTTAGTTCATATTCTGCTGCCATTGTAGAAGGTTGTTCCCTCGCTAGCAGCTGTTTTTGTGTACAAATTGTGTCGTGCAAAATACCGTGTTAAGAATGTAAACAGTGACTACAGTTACATATATTATACTGTACTTTCAGTAAGTGGGAAATACTGGAGGACCTTAGCTTTTGTCTTTATTCAAGACAACTTCAGGTAATGAGACCAACTAATCATCCACCCAACAATGGGTGACCTGATATTGCATCAGAAGATCAGTAATATAAGACCACTAATCCCCCACCCCACTTCCACCTGACATTGTGACAGGTCCGTTACATGAGATCCACTAATCCCCAATAGCTCCTTGCAAGTGGAAAATATCAGTCTTCGCTGTAACACAGGGCTTCATTCACGAGGCGTCTCACACGCCCGTATCATATAGATTTTAAGTGTTTTAAATATATTTATTTAAGCAAACTTTTAGATAAACTATTCAGGATTATTCTAGTAAAGAAATGGAGTTTCTAACTTAATTAGAACTGGTTTTACAGACTCCGATAGTTTAGACTCTCGGAAAACTTTCCCCAGCACCCAGAATCTTTCTGGGGATGTGGGCTAGTGTCTGTCTGTGCAAGATGCATAGTTTAGACATGTATTAAGTTAGCGTTAGGTTAGGATATGTTAGGTTGTATTAGGGTAGATCACACTAGATTATGTTAGTATTAGGATGTTCAATCATCATTTGAAAGAAGCTGGGATGCCTAATTTTCAGGTGATCCCATTAGCTTAGTTATCATCAATAACAGAACAAAAATCTCACATAGTCAAGTTATTATGATTTTTCTTTTTTTTACATTTAAAAACTATATTTATCAACTGTTTATCTAACTATCTACCAAACTTCAATTCTGTACCATACTACTTATGTTTCTATTTATCTAAATCTATCCATCTATCACTGTATCTATACAGTGAACCCTCACTTTACGCGGTCAATTGAACCCATGGCGGCCCGCGTAAAGTGAACAACATAACATATGGGATTAATTGAAATAGAGACCGGTGGCCGACCCCCAAACTCCACTTTTTCAGACACAATACCTACATTGTAGTAAAAATAACTTCTAAATTTTATGATGGTATACACACACAATTAATAATTAAGAGAAATATCAATAATATTAGGTTTTTTAACACTTACATTTGTAGAAAAGATGGCTGGGCACACGGGGATGGGGGGTTGGTTCCGAGGCAGAGAGCAGATTATTGGCCCTCACCTGTATCACTTGTATTAATTGTATCACTATCCACCACAGAGGCTTGCAGGGCCTCTTTGTCAAACCCCTCAAAGTCCATATAAGTCAATATCCTCACTATCATAATTATCACTATCACTGACTTGGGCCGGCTGTGGTGGGTGGCGGGTGAGGAACTAGGTAATGTTTTGATGACTGGGCGACATTGTGCGCACCTTGCTCGCGCCGCTCTCCGCGTAAAAGTGTACACACCGCGGAAAGTGAGCATTCCGTGTTCGGCAGGGTACCGCGTAAAGCGAGGGTTGACTGTATAATATTTATCCAACTTACCAGCTAGGATGGAGAGGAAGATTGACCCAGGCACGGCAAATGTTTGAAGACTTGGGGTGTGTTAAGGAGATATGCTTAAACTCTTTCTTTATAATGACCAAAATATATATATACAGTATATACAATAATAATAAAGGAATAATTTGGCCTTAAAAAAAGCAAAAACAAAACTAACTTATGGAATAAAACATGGAAAAAAACTGCCGTAAAAACAATCAAACTCCAGGGAAAAACACAAATGGAATGGTAATAAGGAAATAATATCGCCTGAAAAAACTACCAAACACTCAGAAAAAATAAACTAATGTTAATAAAGAAAAATATTTCCCTAAAAAAAAATAAATTCTCGCAAAAACAAAAAATAATTAGTAAATAAACAAAAATAATAAAGAAAAATAATAATATCACCCTAAAAACCTCATCAAATTCTCAGACACAAACAAGACCTCAATAGCCAATAAGATAAATCCATTCAACGTCAACTTGAGGTAAACATAGAGAAGGTAAACTAAACGGTCCCATAACATCTGAAGGACAAATAACAGGTGTGTAACTACTTAAATAAATATATATCATCTTTACGGAGGCCAGATGGATAAAGTTTGGTCCATAGCTAAGTCAGTCGTGCTATATTGTACAGAATTATATTGTTAAGTAGTGCTATACTATATATAAACACATAGCTAAGTCGTGCTATACCACACATACATACATCAACCTTGCTATGCCACACAAGAGGTTAATCAATAAAAGGATACAAAATATAAGTGACAAAAACACCGGCCAGGACCTCAGCAAAGTATCTGTCCTTATAGTGGGACAGAACACGACCCAGGTTCTTGGCGTCCTCAATGTCCATCGGCAGCTTCATGTACTGGTATTCATCACTGAGGAGAGAGAGAGTGAGAGAGTGAGTTAGAGAGAGAGAGAGAGAATTATTATTATAGCGTGAAAGTGGATTAGATTTATTGTCGCTTACTGAAAAAAGTGAGAGGGTTTCATTTTATGTTATTACAGGTATTTTGAAGTTTAGGTTCTTCAGTTTATTTCACCTGATGATTAACTATCCTACTGTGGTAAATTTTGCAAATAAATATGAAGCCCAAGAAAGGGTCATTGGGTTTATGGACTAAGTGTGGATAGATCTGTTAAAACAGTGTTATATAAATGATAGTTGTGCGACAGAAGAATTTTACGAGAAATTAGGAGAAATAACCGATAGTTAGGATCACATCAATTTAAGTTATTTAGTAATTCATCCAAAGCTCAACGGCTATACTGTAAAACCAATAAAATTTACGTTAACTTTAACTCGTTACTTTTTCAAAAATGCAACGGAAGTAGTGACAGCGTTACATTATCTACTGAGTAATAGTAATGCTGTTACTTTTGGAAATTAAAACACACAACACTGGTATGTATGTTATGTATGTATGTATTTATGCATCAGCAAAAGCTTAGCCAAGATATACACTCCTTAAAACACAACACAACACTCACTCTTCCAGCTCGGGGAAATTCTTGTACACAAAGGTTAGGGCGCTCAACGACACGAGGAAGATGGTCAACAGACACAGCAGGGCCTTCCTCGTGTCCATGCCTTCTGTCTTCTCCCCCTCTGCATGGCCTCCTTCAGTCTGTGTCATCTCTGGGGAAACAACACAGGAGTTATAAGACTGTTTGTGATCATGTGAAGATTAGTCACCCCGAGCACATCGCCTCTGAATAAAGAAAACATGAATTTACGAGATTGTCTGGATCATGTGAAGATTAGTCACCCTAAGCTTATTTGACCTTATGATTAAACACCCTTATGCTAGCTATGGAGGATTAGGTTAGGTTAAGTAAAATATTGGTTAGGTTAGGTTGTTTTGGATATCTAAATACTGTATAGTGATGACCGAAACTAAAATTTGACCAATTATTCCACTAACACTGGCATACGATTTAGCCTCATTTCCCGGTGTTTGAGGAATATTAGACAAAACTAGAAAAGAAAAAAATATGAAAAATCCAATTCTTCCCCCTGATTTGGGGTCTTCTTGAGGTGAAAAATAAGTGTTCACATAGACAAATTTTCCACAAGGTAGCTGGTAAGCCCGGACAACTCTCCTAGACCATTACCGTTTGTCTACGTCTTATATAACAGTAACCTAATGTCTTCCTTGTTCTCCTGGCAAAGGGAATTATACAACACACATTATCCATTAAAATTCCATAAAAACCTTTGGGTCTTGTGGCGGTACCATTATTTTATAGAGTCACTGACCGACAAGATAAACATAAAAATTATCAGATATTGTGGATAAAACAAAACAATTAGTAGAAAAAAAAATATTGTTTTTTACCCCGCTGACGTGTACCAAAGCCGACCCTTAACTACATAACACCTTAATTACTGTATCTCTTTTCATATAACTAAACCCAATAACTACAATACCACCATAAAACCTTAAATTATTCCTTAACATAAAAATAAATTCTATAATTACCTTCAGGATAATATATACAGCTAAATAATTCTCATGGCGGCTCAGCTGATGTGTCCACTGTAAACACCACGGTGATGTTCCCCGTCAGGCTGGTACTCTCAATAACAAACCCCTATATTATCATTCAACTGAACCGATAACCATAGAATATAACTTAGATATTAATTAATAAGTTATATTCTATAAGATTTAGTTAGTATTTGAAGTTGAGTTATATAGTGGGAGGGTGTTAGAGGGGGTGACCAGCCTGACGGTGAACTAAGGATCAACAACACTGATGACGACATAGTGGTGATGTTCTTGTTGTTGTTGTTTGTTTAAATGTTGCGGTAATAGGGGTAAAAATAAAAATATTAATAACAACACCAACAATTAGAAAAATAAATAACATTAGCATTATTATTACTCAAAATAAATGTACTGTATGTGTGTGTGGATGTGTGTATGTGCTTGATTATTCTGGACCAGAGCATCAAGTCTCTGTCCAGTCGGCATGGTGTTCAACTTTACCATCGTCTGTTCTTTTCTTTTTTCTTTTATCCTCTTCACCAAATGATCGGCTCGTTAGCCGCTTGAGCGATCGGTCACGTCTCTGTTACGCATTGTTGGCAAGAACTGGGAATGCACCGGCTCCTGAATGTACCTGAACCTGCTCCAGTGTTGGTCAAGTCTGGTCTTGAAAGAGCTCACACTCGGTGCCGTCACAACACTCTCTGGTAGATTGTTCCAAGAGTTTACAACTCTCACTCCGAAAAAGTTTGCTCTCACAGTTTTCTGGACCTGCGGCTTCTTCTTCTTGAGCTGTGACCCCTTGTGGGACGGGCGTCCGCCAGCTCCAAGTAAGGACACTCGACTGAGTAGTGCCCCCTGAGATGCTTATGTACCTTAATTAGGTCCCCCCTTGCCCGTCTGTAGTATAAGCTAGGCAAGTTCAGGCGCTCCAATCTCTCAGGGTAGCTGAGGTGCCGCAGTGAAGGCACCAGTCTGGTGGCCCTCCTTTGAACATTTTCAACCAACTGACAGTCCCTAGCATATCTCGGGGACCAGACGGGGTGACAGTACTCCAGATGGGGAAGCACTTCACTCTTGAAGATCGTTACGAGGGATGGACCGTCTAGATATCTGAACGACCTTCTTATAAGACCCAATAATTTATTTCGGTGCTTATGTGCATATATGTGTGTTTAGGTATATCTGTTTACTTGTGTACGTAATGTGTTTGTGTGTGTGTCCCCTGCCCTACCCCCGAGATAAGCAAGTGTCTGTCAGTTGATTGAAAATGTCCAAAAGAGGGCCCCCAAGACTGGTGCCTGCACTACGGCCCCTCAGGTACCTGCAGTTGCCCTGCTTATACTATAGGGCACAGCTTAAGGTTGAAGAAGCCACAAATTAAAAAAAAACTGTAGGGTAAACATATTTCCAGTGAGTTTTAGTGAGCTCTTGGAACAACAACCTGCCAGAGAGTGTTGACTTGACCAACACTGGTGACTGGCGAGCCGCGTCGGTTCAGTTGTCGTGGATTCCTCCCCTACAAACGCCGTTTGTCGCTGAGTAGCCGACCCTCTTCGAATTACCCAGCCTGCGCCTCGTGGTCAAGGTCGGCAACCAGCGCCGCCTAACATAGCGGAGGTCAACTATCAAGCCACGCCTACCCCCGCTATGTAAGACCTCACGTGGCCGTGACCTCTCTCTTTCTACCTACAGCCACCAGCAAGCAACACCTCTGCTCCTGCCTGGTGGCCCTCGCTCCCGCCGGCGACCATGGCGCCCAACAAGCTGCCTGTCCTCCTCTGAGCACCCTCACCAACCAGGTCTCTCCTACACCACGCTTGGACTCACGCTGCCACCCCCCAGCACCAAGCTGCATTGTACATCCAATACAATATGTATACAGAGAGCACATTGTGAGTTTCCTTTCTCCAACCCATCCTGAGTGTGAACCAATATCTCATAACCCCCACACAGTTATCAGATAGGCTACACTCTGAAACCAGCCAGTACAAAATCATGATATAAATTAAAATAAATAAAAGTCACTAGCGGGGTTAAAGTGACTTAAACATGCATATTGATTGGCTGTCATTCGGATATTTAAAAAAAATCTGATTGGCTGTGGTGCACTGTACTGCAGAGACTACGGACTCACTCTTATCTTTATCTGTTTACCATATGTGGCAGGAGGAGATAAGTGGACCTTGTATGGCCACTTAAGTGTGTCCAGTTTGTAGTCAGATTAAACTATGTCCTCTGTAATCAGTTGTGTTCCATTTTGCAACCAGCTTGACATGTTTCCAGTTTTGTAAGCTTGAAATGTGTCTAGTTTTGTAATCAGCTTGAAATATGCCCAGTTTTGTAAGCTTGAAATATGTCTAGTTTTGTAATCAGCTTGAAATATGTCCAGTTTTGTAACCAGATTCAACTGTGCCCAATTTTCGACTCACCTAGCAGTGTGTCCAATTCTAGTACTGAAGTGTTAGTGTTCTGGAAGACCTCAGGAGCAGTGAACGTTGGTGGGACTTGATGTGCCAACACTGCAACCGTTTTACTTGCTGTTTCGTCTATAGTTTCATTTTCCAATTGATATGTTATTTCAATTCTTGTTTCACGTCCTGTTTCACCTTTATATATTGTTTCACTCGATTCACGAACTGTTTCCTTAGTTTCACGTCCTGTTTCAATTGTTTTAAGTAATGGTTTAATTAGTAAGTCAAGTTCTGTTTCATTATCATATCCCGTTTCGCGTATTTCGTTTCCTGTTTCACTTAAGTCTGTTTCACTTAAGGCACCTGCTGTTTCACTTAAGTCACTTACTGTTTCACTTAAGTCACTTACTGTTTCACTTAAGGCACCTGCTGTTTCACTTAAGTCACTTACTGTTTCACTTAAGTCACTTACTGTTTCACTTAAGTCACTTACTGTTTCACTTAAGGCACCTGCTGTTTCACTTAAGTCTGTTCTACTTAAGCCACTTACTGTTTCACTTAAGTCACTTACTGTTTCACTTAAGGCACCTGCTGTTTCACTTAAGTCTGTTCCACTTAAGCCACTTACTGTTTCACTTACGATAGATACACTAGGCACTTCTGCGCTAGTTTCACCACCACCAGTTTCAGTTTCACCCAGTTTATTTCCACTAATTAAGCGTCCACTAATTACACTCTCATCAGATATAATTTCACGAGTCATAGTTCCAGTACAATTTCACCACTGATAATTAAAACACCATTAAAACACCATTATTATACCAGCGTCTATAACTAATTTTCTGTAGTTATAGGAATTAAGAGTTACGGTAAAGCTAATTAGGTGCACTAATTATAGGCACAGGTGATTATATTTACACTCCCTATTGTTTACGAGTTATAGGATTGGCAATTATAGGCTTACAAGTTAAAGTTACCAATTATTGCTATAAGGTCTATAATTCACTGGTTAAAGGCACACACAGTAACCCAGGATATAGTTGGTAAGATAATTATGGCGTCAACAACCGCAATTATTGGAGTGATTTGGCACTGTAATGGTTCACCTGACGTCATTAAGACTCATATGACGTCATTAAGACTCACCTGACGCTATTAAGACTCACTTGACACCACTAAAACTCCTCTGAAGTCACTAAGACTCATCTGACATCACTAAAACTCCTCTGAAGTCACTAACTCATCAGACGTCACTAAAGAATCACATAATGCCAATAAGACTCACAAGACGCAACTAAGACTCACCTAACGCCACTAAAGACTCACTCAACGCCACTAAAGACTTACCCAACACCACTAAGACTCACCCAACGCCACTGAGACTCACCCAACACCACACAGACTCACCCAGGTATTCATCCAGTTGGAGCACCACACTGTAAGAGTCTCCTCGGGACCTCATGAGTGCAAGTGAAGCCTCTTAAGGCAACACCCTCATCTGGCAACACTGAAGGCGATGTAGTTAATCCTCCCCTTGAAGTTGGCAACACTGGGTCTTCATACAGTACAGCTACACCCAGATCTGTTGGTAGATACACTTGTTAGTTGAGTGTATTTGTTAGTTGAGTGTATTTGTTAGTTGAGTGTATTTGTTAGTTGAGTGTACAGTATTTGTTATGTGTTTATTTGTTATGCTTGTTTTATTATGTGTACTTGTTATAAATATTCGTTAGTTTAATGTTCATTGGACAAAATCACTAGTTTAATGTTCACTGGACAAAATCACTTTTTAAAGTTTACTGAACAACAATACTCAAAAATAATATAAATTTGTATATCTGTATTAAAAAGTATAGAATTAAAAAGTATTTATCAATGAGATGAATTTTTGCGTTGATTTACTTTTTTTAATTTCGTCCACTTGTGTCAGCTATTTTGGCTTATGACGTCACTGTAAACAAACTTAGACACGATAATATTTACACTAGATCAGCTGTTTTTGGTTTATGACGTCACTGTAAACAAACTCGATCACTGCGTGTTTACGTCGATCAGCTGTTTTGGTTTATGACGTCATCAAATATCAGACTGGATGTTATCTTGAGTCAGCTGTTTTATGACGTCACAATACACAAACTGAGCCACAGAGGGCGTGGGGGAAATACACACAATAGACAAGGCGTGTAAAAACACCAGGCGTGGACACAGGAGGCGTGGGAGTGTATACAAGCGTCGTTTAAACCCAACTACATCGTGTGAGATAAGATACTGGGAGGAGTTTGGACCTGAAGATAGAAGTAACTTGTCTATTGGTGTGTGTGTGTGTGTGTGTGTGTGTGTGTGCGTGTGTGTGTGTGTGTGTGTGCGTGTGTTATCCTTGGTAAAATCGCCACACTGTCCAATACTGTTGTTTACCTATACAATCTAGGTACAGGGGCGGATCCAGGAATATCAAAAGGGGGGTGCAAGATGTTGTGGGTGGGGCCTATGGCGAGCACAACGAGCCCACCCAGCTGTTTTTTTTAGGGGGTGGGGGATGGGAGGGGGTGTGAGGGAGGGGGTGAGGGAGAGGGGGGAGCGGTGTATGCCCCCCCTCCTGGATTTATTTTAACTGACCAATATCCTGCCTGAGTACAATACTGTATTTAAGTAAGTGTTGTAATTTTTTGGACCCCCCCCTGGATCCGCCCTTATCATAATTCCACACTCCAGGGACAATTAGTTATCAAAATTTCAAACATTTCGACCACAAGGAATGGGGATGATTGGTCCAGGGAATGGAATGGCGAAGAGGAACAACAAAAATGTGTTTAATTATATAAGTTAGGTTCTCACTGACTTACACCCTCCCACGTCTGCCCGAGCTAAGAGATTCGAACCCAGGACACAAGCTAGGGAGATACGCACCTTACTGCTCTACCACTCATTATATTTCATTCATTGCTAGTGTGATGCATTTCTGATAAATTCAATCAATCAATTAATCAATCAATCAATCAATCAACAATCAATTACCCGACCCAAGCAGCTAAGAGGCTGATTAGTGACGAAGAAAACACAGGTAAAAAAAACTGCGTCATAGAAAACGATCCAATACATTTATCAGAGAAAACGAAATCTTTTAAGGACAAACTTAGATAATATTCCCATACTGCTGCCTAGTACTATAATGTGGTCTGGCGTCCAGATACATAGATAAATACAGGTAGATAGATAGATAGATAGTTCATGACAGTAAACAAAAGCTTAACTACTGCAGAATAAGAAAACATTTATTTTTATAACGAGTAAGAAACTTTGCGTTAGTATTTCACATGAAGATTTAATACCCCAGCTTATTTCACACTGAGAGGACCCCTCATTTTGTGACGTCACTCAGCTGACCCCCTTCTTGTGACGTCACTCAGCTGACCCCCTTCTTGTGACGTCACTCAGCGGACCCCTTACAGTATGTGACGTCACTGAGAGGACCCCCCTTTCTGTGACGTCACTAAGAGGCCCCCTTTCTGTGACGTCACTAAGAGGACCCCCTTTCTGTGACGTCACGAAGAGGACCCCCTTTCTGACGTTACTGTGACGTCACTGAAGAGGACCCCCTTTCTGTGACGTCACTGTGACGTCACTAAGAGGCCCCCTTTCTGTGACGTCACTAAGAGGACCCCCTTTCTGTGACGTCACGAAAAGGACCCCCTTTCTGTGATGTCACGAAAAGGACCTCCTTTCTGTGACGTCACTGAGAGGACCCCCCTTTCTGTGACGTCACGAAGAGGACCCCCCTTTCTGTGCCGTCACTGAGAGGACCCCCCTTTCTGTGACGTCACTGAGAGGACCCCCCCTTTCTGTGACGTCACGAAGAGGACCCCCTTTCTGTGACGTCAAGAAGAGGACCCCCTTTCTGTGACGTCACTGACGTCACTAGAGAGGCCCCCTTTCTGTGCCGTCACGTTTCTGTGACGTCAGAGAGGACCCCACTTTCTGTGACGTCACTGAGCGGACCCCCCTTTTTCTGTAGAAGTCACTGGAGGACCCCTTTCTGTGACTGAGAGGACCCCCTTCTGTGCGTCACGAAGTGGGACCCCCTACGAGGACGTGCCGTCCTCACTGAGAGACCCCTTTCTGTGACTCACGGAGGACCCCTTTCTGTGCCACGAGAAACTCCTCTGTGACGTCACGTTACCCCCCTTTCTGTGACGTCACAGAGGACCCCCTTTCTGTGCCGTCACTGAGAGGACTTCCCTTTCTGTGACGTCACGAGAGGACCCCACTTTCTGTGACGTCACTTAGGTTTCTGTGCCGTCACTGAGAACCTTTTCTGTGATACGTCTAGAGAGGAACACCCTTTCACTGTGACGTCCTGAGGTTAAGTTAGGTTAGGTTAGGTTAGGTTAGGTGAGAACTATACAGTGTGTAATATATACTTGAGGCTGTAACTCTAGCTAGGTTGTGTGGAGGAGGTGAGTGTATAAAGCATCCTCCTCTTCCTCCTCCTCCTCAGTCACGCGCGTCACCCAGGCCAGGAGGCTTGAGGAATGGCCCTGCTTCCACCATCACCTGTTGAGTGCCCCGGTAATACACCTCCCTTCTCTTCCTCACTCTCTCTCACTTTATCTTTACTTCATATATAACATCTGTGAATATATTACCTGGTGTTTAAGTTATATATTATGGTGTATGGGGCCGTGTTTGAGTAACGCTCTGCCATTTGTTCAGTTCTTGCAGTTGGTTGAGTGGTGTTATGTGGACCTGCGCATGCGCCTTGAAGGAAAGTTGCCGCTTGGTTATAATTTTCTCTTTTTTCTTTCATGTCAAGGGTAATATTATCACATTATATTACCATTGGAGGAAATATTACAGAGTTGTGTTCATACGTGGGAATCCTTGGGTAGAGGAAGGTTAGATAAGGAGACGTTATCAGCGGGGTAATGTACTAACTGATAACACTCCTCTCCCGCACCCGCCGTGCAGGATAACAAAAAAAGTCGTCTCAGTCAGCTGTTGTACTCTGAGGTGGGAGGACCGTGTGTAGGTGTGAGCACATGTTTCATTAGTTAATACATGATACAGTATTCAGTGATGGTGATACATAGTGTGTGTGTGTGTCGTGGGCAGTGAGTGTAAACACGCCCTCCACCTGTGAGTGTGACTTAAGTCAAAGAAAACAGTATTACATTTAAATGTTTACCAAGACTGTGGCGTAATAGTTCCCATTCATTAAATACAGTTAATCAACCAATTAATTAACACAGATAATCATTAAGGAATAAAATACTGAAAAATTGTCATCATTTCCTTATTTAAATCTTTAACAAAAGTTATAATTATTTTGTATTAATTGTATATATTTTAACAGGGAATATTATCATAAACCAACAATAATAATTAATGAACTCTGTATGACCTTTAATTATGACTCATATGAACATTTTACTGAACAATAGTGAACACAAGCGAACATAAGTGAACGACGCGTGGTAGAGTGAACACCGGTTAATCGGGAGGACCGGTTCAATACGGATAATCGGGACAGGATGCGAATAGACGGATCTGAGAACGGTGCACCGCCTCTCTCCCCACCCGGGTCGTCAGCAGCATCCAACTCCTCGGCAGGTACTGTACCGTCTGTGTGTGTTCTGGGTGTACCGTAGGTGTAGAGTGGGTGTTTATCTGGTGTACCGTTACGATACACCAGATTGGGGTTGGGTGTAAACGGGACTGATCAGTATGGGCCAGTAGACCCGCTGCAGTTTCCTCCATTCTTATGTGTGTAGAGGGGGTGTT